CCTACTAGAACAATGTATTAATATTAGTATTAATATTTATCGTTGTATAAGTATTATTATTTATTATTAGTATTAGTATTAATATTGGTATTCATAATAGTATCAGTATCGGTATCAGTATCAGTATCGGTATCAGTATCAATATTAATAGTAGTATTAATATTTGTATCAGTATTAATATTAGTATTAATATTAGTATAAGTATTAGTGTTAGTATTAGTATGATATTAGTATTAGTATCAGTATCAGTATTAATATCAATATCAGTATTAGTATTAGTATCAGTATCACTATCAGTATTAATATCATTATCAATAACAACATCAGTCTAAGTATGAGTATGAGTATGAGTATCAGTATCAATATCTGTATCAATATATGTATGAGTATTGGTATGACTATTGGTATGAATATTAATATTGGTATTAGTATTGGTATTAGTATTAGTATGAATATCAGTATCGGTACCGGCATCGGTATTAGTATCAATATCAGTATCAATATGTGTATGTGTATCAGTATGTGTATTAGTATTAATATCAGCATTAATAACAGTAGTAGTATTATTATCATTATCGATATCAATATCAGTATTATTATCATAGTTATTATCATTATTAGTATTATTTTCCATTCATATTAGTTTTGGCGTATTAGCATTAACAATAGCATTATCATTAGTCTTATTATTAATATTAATATTAGTATTAGTATTAGTATTAGTATTAGTATTAGTATTAGTATTAGTATTAGTATTATATTAGTATTAGTATTAGTATTAGTAGTATATTAGTATTAGTATTATAGTTCGTATTAATATTGGCGTATTAGTTTTAACATTAAATATTCGTATTCGAATTGGCATATTATTATTAATATTATTGTTGATATTAATATTAGTATTAGACTATTAGTATTAATCATCGTATTAATATTAGGATTAGTATTAATATTAGTATTATTAGTGTTGGTTTTAGTATTAATATTAGTATCGTATTCGTATTATCAATGTTGGTTTTAGTATTAGTAGCAGTAGTAGTTGTTGTTAGTGTAATATTAGTGTTAATATTAGGGTGGCAAGGCAATTGTACGCCGCAATGTCTAGAGTTAAAAGTAGATTTGAGATAAATATATTTATCAACTCAGAATCGGGCGATATAACTAAAATTACGAGCAATGTTGTGTGCACAAAAGATTTTCAGCAAACATGAAGGTAAATCACAAACAAATGTATATTTTGATTCAATAAAACATTTTTTTTGGTAATATTTACATGTATATCAACTGTTCAATTTTTTCGTTCGTTTTATTTTATCCAAAAAAAAAAAAATTAAAAAAAGTTGATCCCGTGCATCGCACGGGTGAATTACTAGTTTAATTAAAAAAAGAAGAAAGAAAAAAAAAATGCTGATAAATTCGAATGTAGTGGTGCACCCAAATCTGAAAATTGGGAAAGAGAAACCCTTTTCAGCTCACTTGAGTTTTTCTTCTCCGCGCAACAAAATCATCATCAAGCACAGAAGAAATCTCCTCGTCGCCGCAGCTCAAAACCTAGGTCAGAAACAATTCTTCAACGCCAAATTAATTACTTATATTATGAATGTTATGAAATTTTGTTGAATAATTGAATTTCAATCATCAATTTTCCATTTTTTTTCTTCTGTGATTTAAATTATAGCATCAATATTTGCTTGCGTAATTTGCTTGTGGTTCAGAAACTGGTTATTCCATATGTAAAGCTGAATGTTGCCTGATTAAATACAAGTGTGTTATATATATATATAGACACACACACACACACCCCTGAACCCCTATTACTGCATATTGATTACAATGCTTCTGCAGAGATGAATCAGAAGATAATAATATTAAACAAGCGCCGTGAAAAACTTGTGGGTGTATTGCATGAAACTGAATCACCACAAATCGTAGTTCTGTGCCATGGTTTTCGATCCTCAAAGGTCGGTAAAGCTTCTCTTTAGCTTGGTTACTCTGTGCTATTTTTTTTCAATTTTCTTATTGTTTAATTACACACTAGGTCATATCAAGTGCCTGTGTATTTTTCTTTCTCCGAGTAAACAATGGTGAGTGAACAATGGTGATAGACGAGGAGTTACTTAACAACACCTTCAACTTCGTACATTTTGCAAAAGACGAGGACATTATTTCTCATTTTTTCTCGTAGAATGATTTGAGAACACTGGCAAAATTTATTGGATTCGTCTGTAAATCTTTTCAATCTGCAGGAGAGCAAACTTGTGGTCAACCTTGCCAGTGTTCTAGAAGAGGAAGGAATCAGTGTGTTTCGCTTCGATTTTGCTGGAAATGGGTAAAGTCTTGAAACACATTAATTACTTGGTACTTTTTTTTTTAAAATATGGGTTTCATGCTTTATGGTTGATTTTCAGAGAAAGCGAAGGCTCGTTTCAATATGGTAACTACTATAGCGAGGTTGAAGACTTGAGAGCTGTGGTTGAATACTTCACCGGAATAAACCGCTCGACTGTTGCTATCGTTGGGCATAGTAAAGGTATATCAGAACTAAATATATCCGAGTTAATGCATCCATCGGGCAATCTGATTCGTAGTATAAACAACAAAATATTCCTTGGTTTGCCCTCTTTCCAGTTCTTGGATTTATGTGACGAAATCTCGATTTTTTCTCGTTTCCACATATTACAGGTGGCAATGTTGTGCTTCTGTATGCATCCAAGTATCACGATATAGGTGCTGTGGTAAATATCTCCGGTCGTTATAATCTCAAAAAAGGCATTGAAGAACGCCTCGGTGCAAATTACTCGGAAAGACTCAAGAAAGACGGGTACATTGATGTTAAACTACCAGGTAATTCATTTATTAGCAAAATCTCATGCTGTATTTTCACTCGACGGATTATGTTTATTGCACGAGAGCTTTTTTAACTAAATAAAAAATCGAGTGTTGGTCTGTTTTTCGTAGGTGGTGTTCAATATAGAGTCACAGAGGAGAGCATGATGGAGAGACTCAATACAAACATGCACGAGGCGTGCCTTTCAGTTGACCCGAAATGCAGGTATGTTTGATCTTCAGTTTCGTTTTATTAAATTTTGACCTCTAACCAAGTGAAACGAAAAACGAAAAAAAAAGGGTCTCGTTAAGTTTTGAAGGCGTGTATATATTATACATACAGGGTATTGACAGTTCATGGATCAGCCGATGAAGATATCTCAGTCAAAGACGCTGAGCTGGGGTTTGCGAAGATAATACCAAATCATTGGTTGGAAATTATTCAAGGGGCCGATCATCGTTATTCTAAACATCAAGATGAATTAGCTGCACCTGTTCTCAAATTCGTTAAGGAATGTCTTTAATCTTTGTCGATAATGTCTGAAAAATTTACCTTCGATTATGAACAACCCATAAGGGAATTATGTCAAAAATTTCACAAATTATGTGGAATTGTTTTATGGTCTTTTAAACGTTACATGCATTTGGTGAAATACTTTGGATAGGTCTTCCTTCACCTTCAATAAAGGTAATTGCAATATATATCTTTTCGATAAATTAATTATGCTAAAATTAGAAATCACTAAAAAATAACACGACGATTTAGAAAAAAATGATAATAACAGAAAAAGAAAAAAATGATAATAACAGAAAAATTCGACGCAGTGGATCACCCCATTTCTTAACTGCACACCCTTGCAGTTGGCACACCCTTGCAGTTGGCACACCCTTGTGACGCAGTTTATCACCCAGTTCTTCTCTATTTCCCCTGTTTTCTTCTGCATTTCCCTGAAACAGTACAGAGGCGGGTTACGCATTACGATCGAAAAAAATCTAGAGAGAAAAAAATCGAGAGAGAAAACATGGCGACAAAACTTATTGTACTCTACAAAAGGATTCGTAGCTCCATTGCGTATCTGATCGTCGTCTCCCACATTTCTATTACCACCGGCGTCGTTGTTCCGGCCACGCATTTCTCTTTCGGTATTTTCCGCCAAACGCACTGGTTTATGCGTCGGGGTGTGTGTTTATGTTTTAATGTATGTTTTAATGTACGTTTTACAGTGTGTTTTATTAGCTTCATTTTGTTTGTAACTAAAGTTTATGGAGCCGCCGCGGCGCCTGGCGGAGGAAGCGCCGACGAAGGATGCGCCGACGAAGGACACGAAGGAGGAAGGACCACTGGAGAGGGATGGTGCTTATGAAGGTGATGACTATTTCTATTTCATCAACTTTTTTTGCATTTTCCTACTTTTAATTGCGTCAAATTTTTCCCTAATTTTCTGGTTATTTTTTCAACGTAAGTGCGTTGTTTTTCTCTCCGTTTTGCACTGGCCTACATTTCTGGCTTTGGCCAAGTGAAATATTGCCATAATCGTAACCGATTTGATGGAGTGTTTGCGTATTAGATGAGCAAAATTGCTTTAGTCATTGAATACCTTTATCAACCACTTCGTTCCCGCAGTAGTTTAATTGCCATTGGAAATTAAAACTTGATGTAATTAGTCATATTAATCATATCACTACCTTCATCTGCTGGAGATATTTTGCTTTGATTATGTGTACTTATATGTATGTATATATGTACCACATTGCTGTCTGGAATCTTGAAATACCATCCATTAGTGAATCCTGCAAATATTCCCTGAACCGCCATAACAAAAACCAGCATAGGGTTCATCCCTATCCACTCCAGAACAAGAAGGGCTTCCTGACTCCCCATATATCAATATGCACCATTCGTCTCAACATAAGTGTGTATTTCTGTGTGTGTGTGTGAGAGAGAGAGAGAGCGAGCTAGAGCTCGATACTCTTATACTTTTATATATTTCTGTATTTTTTGAAAAACTCTACGTGTCTTTCTTTTGCTGAGTACGATTAGATCAATTTGTGTTAAGATTAAAATTTGGCCTTGTTTTATGTTGTTCATGATAAACTTGATGTGTTGAGAATAATTATTGCTGGGAATCTGGTTCAGTTAAAGGTGGAATTCAAAAATAGTCCTAATTAATACATATGATTACTGGTGTAATATGAGTTGAAGGGTTAAAGAATCTATTTCAAATTCTTGCGTCAAAAGATAACTCTTCATGTGCCTAGTTTCGTGTGGAAGTGGTATTTCTGTATTGTTGGAACGGTATTTCTGTATTGTTGTTCATCTCGGAAGGGTATTTCTGTATAGTTGTTCAATCCTTAACGTTTGCTATCCCAAATTAAACAAAGCACTTCTATTTTGGAGGATCTCGATTTGTCATTTCTCTGCTGCTGCAAGGTGTATCTACTGGGAAAATAGTCATACACTCATACTATCTTCTAGTTTTGCTTTTTTTATTTTTCTGTAGAACAAACATATTCTAATTTATAATGAATCGTGAACCGTGACAGACTTGTTCCCTTAACAATAATGTCATCTCCTGACAGGCTTGTTCCCTTAACATTCGAATTTCCTTTGATTTGGCCAATCATATCTTTTATTTTTTCTTACAAATGTGAATATCAGCATTTATGTTAATTATATAATAAATGGTTATTTCCTTATTTATACATATTTAACTTAATTATGATACTCAATACAAGTATAAAACCACATTTCCCATCCAACACCAAAGCAAAATTGTCCACCCATTTTTATCTTCATCTTCACCTCACTCCGACGCTAGAAGCAAGAAATGAAAGAAGAAAAAAGTTGGCTGATGATATTTTGTTAGTGTTGTTTTTTCCGTTTTTGTTATTTTAATTTTTATACAATTTTATCTCAGTGATGCTTTATCATATAAGTTATTATATAAAAATAAGTTAAAATACATTTTTAATAAGTTATTATATAAAAATAAATAGCATTAACATTGGGAGATATTTAAAATATGAAAATAAAACCAAAACTAAAAGAACATAATATAAAAAAGAATAGTTCAAACTTATTAAAAAAATGTATAAAGATTTGAATGGATCTATTAAAAAAAATGAAATAAAATAGAATGGTAATTTAAAATATCTTTTGAAAGAAAGAGAAATAAACAAGTAAATGAAAATGATAAAACATCATTGAAATAAAATTGTATACAAAGTATAATAGTAAAAACGGAAAAAACAACACTAACAAAATATCATCAGCCAACATTTTTCTTCTTTTATTTCTTGCTTCTGGCGTCGGAGTAAGGTGAAGATGAGGGTGGATAATTTTGCTTTGGTGTTGGATGAAAAATGTGGTTATATACTTGTATTGAGTATGATAATTAAGTTAAATATGTATAAATAAGGAAATAACATTTATTATATAATTAACATAAATGCTGATATTCAAATTTGTAAGAAAAAATAAAAGATATGATTGGCCAAATTAATGGAAATTTGAAATTTCCTTATTAAATATCAATATAAAATTTATTTTATAACTAACATAAATGTAATAAAGAAATCATTTTTTGAAATAAGTTAAATAATAAATAAGACAAAATGTAATAAAGACTAATTAAGGAAAGAAGTCCACAAATAAAAGAGATGAAAAGATTTGGGATCAAAATTGAAGATGTCAAAACTTCAATTGTGTATTCTCCCTTTATATATTATATAGATATAGATTTCCTTTTAATAGTGCACAAAAAATAATTAGGAGTACAAAAAATTTGTTTACTCCAATTAAAACATATCTATATGAAGTAATATATGGAAAATGAATTGATGACATGTTTATTTTATAATTTATATCCATTATAAATTGTCGTTTATCCATTCAATGAATCGTGAAAAGTAATCGTGAACCTTTACAATGAATCGTGAACCGTGACAATCTTGTTACCTTAACAATGAACCGTGAACCGATAGTTAAGTCAGCATCTCCCGAATGTGTTGCGAATGCTAAGTGAGCTAAGTCAGCATCTCCCGAATGTGTTGTGAATGCTAAATGATCTATCATCTCCCGAATGTATTGCGAATGCTAAGTGATCGGTATTGCATAAGTGCTTGGATATGTGGATATGTTGGATTCTTGTTGGATGATTCAAATGAGAACCCTACCCCTATTTATACTTGATCACCTCCTTAATGGACGGTGGAGATTGATTTGATCTAACGGATAGGAGTTGTTCACTAGAACACTTTAAAGTAGGGTTGTGCATGGATCGATTTTAACCACCAACCAACCCATTTTCGACCCATAATTTGTGACGGATAATCAACCATCAACCGACCCATTTAAGTTGTGTCGATAATCTCAACCAACCCATGTATAGTAGGGTCGATAATGGTTTCTAATATGCTATAAAGTTGGTTAGTCGGGTAATATCAGCCAACCAACTTTATTTATTAATTTATTATTTATTAATTTTATTTAAAATATTTAATATTTTAATTTCAAATTTCTATTTTATATCACATTTATTAAATTGTTTAATATTGACCAAAATCTTAAAAGCAATAAATCTAACCTAATTATCTATTTTGAATTATTTTAATTTTAAGACATATAGGCTCTGTTTGGTAAGCTTTTGGGCTTCTATTTCCATTTTATTTTGGGGAAAGATATTTTGGGAGAATAATTTGAAAATTAAATAAAGTTTGTTTGTGTTTTGGGAGGAGACAATTTGTACTGTAGCAAGTCAAATCATGTCTGAAAGGTGTTGGGAAAATGTATTTTGGAAGAAGAATTTAAAAGATAAAGTAATTTGATTTTGTATTTTAGTGAAGACAATTTTCACTGTAGCAGTCAAATCATGTTTGTTAGAGAGAGAAATATTTGAATTTGTTTTAGGGAAAGTTTTTGAAAATAGTGTAGAAAAATAATTTTCATTTTCGGGAAAGTGTGAAAAGAATTTGAAAATGGTAACAAACATAACCATAGTATAAATATTTGGACGATTATTATTTGTCGAACTATTCATGTTTAATTGCAATATATATGGCCCGTAATGTTTTGAATTTTTTTTATTTGAATATTGTTGAACTAGTCATATTTAATTTATAAAATATATAATATTGTAACAATTAATAAAATATTAAATAAAATTAACAAAATAATTAGATGGATGACCCATCAACCAAACCATCAACCGACCCATATAAATAGGGTCGATAATGGTTTCCAATATTGACCAAAGTTGGTTGGATGGGTTGGGTTGATTTTATGGCTGGTTTTTAACCAAACCAACCAACGCACAGTCCTACTCTAAAGTATCTCTACAAAATATCATTTGGGCCAACTTGGGCCTAACCTTATTTGGACTAAGTTTTGGACTTCTTAACCTGCCAACTCAAGGAGTTGGCCCAACCTATTTGGGCTAAATTTTGGACATCTTGACCTCCCAATGGCAAATGGTTGGGCCAAAGCTGGTGGGTCGTGACACGTCGCGGAGAAGGCGGAAGAAGCGCCGGCGAAGGACGCGAATGCGGAGGAACCACTGCAGAGGGATGATGCTCATGAAGGTGAGGGCTATTTCTATTGATTTCTATTTCATCAACTTTTTTTGCATTTTCCTACTTTTGATTGCTTCAAAATTTTCCCTAATATTCTGGTCATTTTCTCAACTTGTTTCTGGATTATGCAAGGAACTTAGTCGTTCAATACCTTCATCAGCCACTTCGTTCCCGCAGTAGTTTAATTGCCATTAGAAATTAAAATTGATGTAATTATTAGTCATATTAATCATATCAATACTTTCATATGTTGGATTTTTTTGCTTTGTTTATGTGTAGGTTTGAGTTTGTCGTATGACGTGTGTGCCACGGTTTCATTTTCTTCAGATGGGGGTAGATTCACTTTTACATATTTCTACATTTTCTGAAAGACTCTGCGAGCCTTTCTTTTGATGAGAGTAGAATTTGGGTGATTGTCGATCGATTCACTAAGTACAACCATTTCATAGCACTCAGCCAACCCATTAGTGCATCACAACTAGCTCAGATATTTGTAATGGAGGTATACAGACTCCATGGCATTCCCAGTTACATTGTCTCAGACAGAGATCCTCTCTTCACCAGCCAGTTTTGGAAAAAACTTATGCAATACTTGGGGGTGTAACAACAATTGAGCACTACCCATCATCCCCAAATTGATGGACATAAAGAGAGAGTTAATCAATGACTTGAGTCTTATCTCAGGTGCATGTATGGGCAGTTGCCCAAGAAATGGAGTATTTGGATTCCCTTGGCTGAGTGGTGGTATAACACTTCCCACCACTCATCCATCCAAATGACCCCATTTGAGGCCCTAGCCACCTCAAGTTGGATATGGACCCCATTTGTTAAGGAAGATAGGAGAACTGGAAACATAGGTTAAGGATCATCAAATGGTATCTTAGAGGCTGAAGGAGTTGTTGACTGAGGGACAACAAAGGATGAAGTTGTATGCTGACCAGCATAGAAGTGAGAGGGAGTTTGTAGAAGAGGAGTGGGTCTATCTAAAACTCAAACCTTACAAACAGTTGAGCTTGAGGAAGAGTGATATATGGAAATTAACTCCGAAGTATTGTGGATCATTTCTTATTACCAAGAGGATTGGAGTTGTAGCTTATGAACTACAATTACCTGCAGATGCTAGAGTACACCCATTCTATGTATCACAGCTGAAGAAGCATATTGGAGATACTACAAGGGTCACAGCAACCCTACCTCCATTGGATGAGCAGAACCAGTTCCTACTGTATCATGTGGCTGTGAGAGAGAAGAGGTTAGTCAAGTACAATAATGTGGCTCAAGTGCAATGGCTAGTGGAATAGGCACATCTGCCAGTGGAGGAAGCTACGTGGGAAGTTGCAGCTGAGATGGAGGAGAAATTCCCAAGCTTCAAGCCATGAGTCATGGCTCTTGGAAGGGAAGGGTCGTGTAACGGTATTAACCGTTTTTCAATTTTTCCTTAAATTCCCTAAAACGACGTCGCAACACTTACAGTAGCGCGCCCGTCTATTCAAGCAAAACACGTTTTTTATTTTAAGTTTGAGTCATCAAAACGTCTCCGTTTTGATGACTGTGCTGAGAACTCACACTTTCATCATGCTTCAAGACATCTGAGTGCTCCCCAAGTCTCCTTTGGAGTATTTTTATTTATAGACCATCAATATCTACATTTTTCTTGTATGCTTTTATGATATATATCACTTAAAGTAGGTAGAGTAGTATAGCTGTGATGGAGTTTTTGTCCAGTTTGTATCGAATGTTTATTACCTTTTTCATCAATACAGTTCTACCTATTTTGCAGAGAATTGTTTTATTTCTTTATAAATTAGCAGATTCATAACAGTGAGGACTATTTCTATTTCATCAACTTTTTTTTTGCATTTTCCTACTTTTGATTACTTCAAAATTTTCCCTATGGATTATGCAAGGAACTTAGTCGTTGAATACCTTCATCAGCCACTTCGTTCCCACAGTAGTTTAATTGCCATTAGAAATTAAACTTGATGTAATTACTAATTAGTCATATTAATCATATCAATACCTTCATCTGCTGGAGATTTTTTGCTTTGTTTATGTGTAGGTTTGAGTTTGTCGTATGACGTGTGTGCCACAATTTCATTTTCTTCAGATAGGGGTAGATTCACTTTTACATATTTCTATATTTTCTGAAAGACTCTGCGAGCCTTTCTTTTGATGGGGGTAGGATTTCTTTTGTCTGTAATTAAAGATGCCGAGATCGTGGCCACCGTACGTTGTAATATCTCGATTCCAAGGCGTCGGACAGAGTGCATCCAGGTCGGTGAAATAGATCGAATCAGGCTCCACATTATGCTTGACCATTTCGTCGTCTCCTTCGATTACGAGCCCATGCCCCGTCCCAATGAAGAACGCCATACCATCCAACGTACCGTCCATGTACCTCAGCTGATCTATCTCTCTCTCTTTCTCAACAACCAACTCATGAACATCAAAATCAACGGTCTTGTACGGAAAACTGTCGTCGTATTCCTCAACAGGTTTGAGTTAGGGTTTGATAATGTTTACATACAGCGAGGTAAAGGCCGGGTAAAATTTCATTTTAGTCCCTGATCTTTGGAGTCAAAATCATATTCATCCTACATGGGCTTATGTGCACAAAGTTAAAACCACAGGGGTTAAAGTGCTATTTAAACGAAAAAAAAAACAAAAATTAAAGTCGTGAAGTGATTACGACGTCGTTTTGGCGTCTAACACCAGTTAATTACGATATCGGCTCCCATCTTCCTCCTCACCCCTAAATCATCACCACCACCATAAATCCCTCTTAATTCAGCACAAAATCCAAATTCTTATCTTCACAACAAACAACAGCAATCACCAGAAATTCTCCTTCATAACTGCTCCAATTTCTGTTTCATTCATCCGATTTGAAGCTAGCAGATAATCTTAATCACACTGCGCAGTAAAATACTGAAAAACAATGTCGAGAAAAGGAGGAGCCGCCCTGCAAAACGATGTGCCGTGGAGAGCAGCATCCTCTGCTGTTAAGCCCATTCCAAAAATTCATCATTCTCCCGTTCTTCGGCTCCAGCAGACTCCTTATTCCAATTATGCCCTCTTTATTATGAAGGTTATTATTTGTATAATTCATCTCTTTAGTATGTGTGTTTTTGTTTACTTGATGTTTTCTTTTTAATCAATTATGGCCTTTGATTGTGGTTTTATTATACAAGGGTTTGATTATTTCGTTGTAAAGCCACAAGCTTTATGGTTATTGGGTTAGGTGATTTATGCATTTATGTAGTTTTAGTTTTAGATGAACGATTCATGTTTAATCCCTTTTTTTTTGTGTGTGTGTGTGTGTGTGTGTGTGTGTGTGTGTGTGTGTGAGAGAGAGAGAGAGAGAGAGTTGTTGAAAATTGCTTTGAGAAAATCCAAGAGAAAATACTGCAATTTTAAGCTTTAATAGCTTCTTCTAAAAACAGCAAAGAAGTGGATAAAATCGATACATAATATTGGATCTTAATGCAAATGTTAATGCGTTTTTCAATGCTTCTTTCATCGATAATAATCGATTAAACATGTAGTTGCATCATCGAGCTCATGGATTATATATAAAGTCTTGTTATGTATCTATGCCTCATGGATATTTTGGATATTAATGTCACTGTGTTTGTGGTGTTGAAATTCTCGTGCGTTTTCGATTATAATTTTCTTTTTCAGCACGAAGATCCGATCGGGAGTGGGCTAGGGAAAGGGGCTGTGGTTGAAGCTGCTGGGCCAGACTGCATCGTGCCTGGACAAGTTACACCTGTCAAATTACTTGGTCTTAAGGTGCATTTCCATTTTTTTCAAAATATTTTCCGTTCAAGAAAAAAAAAGAATTCACGATGCATATATCATCGCCATCTAACGGTAGAAAGCAAATTCATCTATTCGGAACAGAGCAAACAGAAGAAAGCTGTTATTGTAAACAGTTCAGTTCTTGATTATTGGTTGTGTAAAATTCTATTCGTACACGTATGAATTGTGCTTCTATGGTGTTTAATATGAACTGCATAGTACTGCAAACATGAAGATTTGGATCCAACAGAAGATCCGATAACAATGTGATGATTCGTTTGTCTTGTCATTTGTGCAGGTATGGCCCATTGAAGTGGACTTGAAGTTTATGGAACCGGTCGGCCGGGAACTTAAAGCAATTGGAAAGGTAAAAATTCCGTTTTCTTTTTTCCTACCAAATTGTTAAAATACGTTTTTTTTTTTTTCAAAATTTTATTGCGTGCAATTAACTAGTTTGTTCTTGTTAAATTGGTTTCAGTTCATGGATTCAGCAGTAAATCTTATGAACAAGTCGTTTGCTGAGAGCGACCGATATTGAATATGCAACGATTGCTTGCCTCTACATGCGGATGACTCTTATCAACTAGACTATATGAAGAGATTCTTCTTCTCTCTCTTTTTTTTTTTTTTTTTTTTTAAAATCATATGTAAAAGTTCATTTTTACTGTCCAAAGAAAGTTGTTTTAAGTTTTAACAGTCTGAACTGAAGTATATACATTTGAAGAGTACTACCGAATGGCGATCATCGAGATTTGAGAGTATATTCAAACCAAAATAGTAATTCACTTTCTTTTTTCGCGAGTTTTTCCCCGAAATCTTCAAGGTTTTGCAGCACACTCGAAAGTTCATTTATTTTATTTTTTTTTCAAGAGAGAAAATAATATGTATATTCCCCAAAATTTGTTTATGAATCAAGATGCAGGAAATAATAGATGACTTAATTCATACATTGTTTCTGAATTTTAAAATAAAATTAGAATCAATTCATATGATTACAGTGGAAAAATAATTAAATATCATCATATAAGTCTATATATATATTATTTTTTTTAATTTATAGAGTTGTAAAAATGCCATATCAGAAAGGGAGAAAAGAAAAAGATGGAGTCTAATATTAAAGTGAAATATACTAAAAAAAAAAATTAAATTGAAATAGGGGGTTAAATGTCCTTTCCTCAAAATACAGGGGGGGGAAAAGTAAAAACGAATTCGTGACCAAAAAACCCTCATATGCTTCACCCTCGCACTGCATTCCTCTCCGTTCTACTAGAAAGCCAGGAAATCTGAAACCAACGCCAACAACAAGGTGAATTTATTTTCTCTTTTTTCTTTCTGGGTACTGGAAGTTCGCAATTCTGAATTCATTTCTTTTAATTTTGCATCAAATTGAAACCGATTTTATTTTTTCCTGCTCTGAATTAAATCCCATACTACGTGCCGTAAGCCCGAAAATTGATACAGCGTTTGATATCAAGAAATCCAATCCTCTTGGTAAAGGAATATTATAAATGCTTGTCAATTATGATTATTTATTTTAAAGTTCCTCTTTTTTTTTTTTTTTAATAAATAAATTTTAGGGTTTGTAGGTGAGAGGGTAAGATAATGCTTGTATAGTTTTCAATTGCAGCGTACATAGAATCTTTTACATATGGGAAGTTTGTATTTTGTGAAAATATAGAGTAAAATTAATATATAGTGCTAGTTTATAGTTTGATTAATATTCCTGAAGCTATTTCGTAATTTCGACAATCCGAATTTGATTACTGGCATAAACTACACATGCTTTGTGGTATCAGGTGATACTTAAAAAGACTAAAAAGCCAAAACAAAAAAAGAATTGCAAAATTGACATGGCATTAAGACTTTCGTCGGTTGTCTCATCCACAGTGGTTCGTCGGAGACTGCCTCTGGTAGGTGCTTTTTGTGTGCTCAGTTTCGGCCTTTCGAATCTCTGCTCTATTTGTCTCCCCTCTCATACGGGTTTCGCTCAGTCGCTCCCCTCTGTTCTTCTTTTACGGTAACTTCTTTTTTTTTTTTTTTAACTTTGAATGCATTCAGTGAACAAACTGTTTTGCAATGATTTTCATCTTAAGCTGTGTTTTCCTCTCTGTGTAGATCAAGATTTAGTGCGCAAACACGTAAGAACGCTCATACGATAAGAATGGAAACAGATAAGACGACTGTGCCCAGCATTGTTGTGTATGTTACGGTTCCGAACAAGGAAGCAGGTTTTTTTTTGCTTTGTTGTTCTTCGTTTTAGTCTGTAAAACATCTTATCGAAATATCGTTCGATTACGATTTCTTGTGACGCGATCTGGTGCAGGGAAAAAACTGGCAGAAAGCATAGTCAAAGAGCGGCTTGCAGCATGTGTTAACCGAGTACCAGGTTATATTGCTTTCTGCCTTTGAGTAAATATTTAGTAATAGATGAAAGTATGGTATATAATATTAATATATTCGTAGCAGTTTAGAGTAGTTCAGCATTTTTTTTAATCTTTTCTTTACGCACACCGGCACACGATGCTTACTCCGACGTGCAAATTATGTCTCCAGGTGTTGAATCAGTTTATGAGTGGAAGGGAGAGGTAAATATTATTCCAATATTTAAAAAAAAGGGACTCCCGTAAAAGTTTGGGAAAATTAATTTTGTTGTTCGGCTTCATCGATGAACAGATACAAACCGATTCCGAGGAGCTGCTTATAATAAAAACTAGAGAGTCCCTTCTAGAAGCTCTAACACAGCATGTGAAGGCAAATCATGAATACGAGTAAGTACTATACGTGTGTTGGTAAATTGCCGTTGATCGATCGAAAAAAGATAACAATATCGGACCATGGTTTTGATTAGCATTTGTGTCCTAAATAAAACGGGTTTTTTTTTTTTTAATAAATAGGGTGCCTGAGGTGATTGCGTTACCCATAACTGGTGGCAATTCACAGTATCTGGAGTGGATAAAGAACAGTACAAAGGACTAAAGAAGGTCAGGGGCGATATGGGAATCGGATTATATTAAATTTCGTCTCTCGAAAATCATGTGTTTTCATTGCACATTGTAACAGTTAATAATTTGCGAAGGTCGTTAAGCATTATCGGATTTTCGTTGATATTTTTTACTGATAAAGAAGAAACCCAACCAAAGTAGAATCTCGATAAATTAATAGCAATCACTTAAATAATAATTTCTTCTGGTCCTGACTCGGTGTAAATACACTAAATTATTAGTTCGATAATTTAATATTTCGTTAAATTAATAGGATTTTGTTACTGAATATATAGATTGGTGAATTCTTTATTACCAATTCATCAATTTATCTCTTCATGATGTTATAGAAAAAATGGAAACCTTTGTTATTTTTCCATTTGTAATATAAAAATTTGGTTACGTTGATATTGTAAAATAAATAGGCTATACAATTTACAATGTATTATTTATTTATTTTTCCTATTTTTTCATTTATATTTCAAATACTATAATTACATTAAAAAAAAAAAAAGGAGAATCATAAAAGAAATTAAGAAAATTGTGTGGCTGTAGAGGTTGAAACGGAGAGGACAAAATTATTTGGCATATTCCGTATCAGTAAACCGTCAGCGGTGCCGGTGTCGGCCGTTAACTGCGGTTAGATTCTTGACCACAGTCCATTCACAGAATCAGTTAAATTACACAAATGCCCCCGTTATTCATCATCACTTATATAATTTGTATGTATGTATATATGTAGAGAGAGAGAGAGAGAGAGAGAGAGAGTTGATTTTATTTCACTGAATTAGAAAAGAAAAGAAAAAAAAAGGAAGAATATTTGTTGAAGTGGAAAATAAAAGTCGAGAAAAAAGGGAGGCGGAAGAATCGCTTCGTACATAAGCCATCGAAAAAAATTCAATACATTCCCCCCATATTTTTTATACATATACACACAGTTCTTCGTCTCGAAGATTTTTAATTAATTAATTAATGTATTCTTAGATTACAGAAGCAAATTATTGCGATTGGAAGAGGCAACGGCCATGGCTGAATTCAGCAGCGATTCCGTTTGCCTCGATGTTGAAACGATTTATCTCGGCGGAAAGGTTTTCAATTTTTTCCCCCTTTTTTCTCTCTCATTACGAATTTCAGTTTTATTATTCTGATTAGATCTGCTTCTAAGCTTTTACTACTCTTCCATTAATGGCGGAATACTTGATTTCGTCGCTAATTGCGATTTTCCGTCCAATTATTCTAATCTGCTTTTTTTTTTTTTTTTTTTTTTTTTTTTTTTTTTTGGTAATGCATTTATTATGTATTTTGTGGTTTTCGATTCAATTTCCGGTATTAATTAATTTTCTGTTAGGGCAGTATTTTATGTTATCATAATGAAGATACATTGGTGGTGGTGATGAATTTCCTCGTATAGCTTGTGATTCTTTAATGTCATTAGTTAAAACTGGTTTGTCATCTAGAAGAATATTTAGTGACACCTGTAGCTTTTCTTTATTGAAAACAATTCTTTACTACAGCTTGGTTGTTGCTGTCTGTTTTTGTTTCTTTTGCTAGTGGTTAGAAGTTGCAATCATTACATTATTATCACTATCTCATTCCATACCATGCTCTTTTGGAAGCTGGAAAAAAATTTATTTTATTTATTTTTCCTGCTTTGACTAATTTAATAATTTTGTGGGTGAACATGGTTTACTTTTTTCTTAAGAATGAAAAAGTTGCTTCTATATATTCTGGTGTTTCCCTTTTCTTGAAGGATGATCAAAGACTAGATCGTAATTTCTATTTGATTATTAATAGTTTCCTGTTTGGGGGAGAAAATATTAATGGTACTATAATTGCGGGTTTTTTTTTCTTCTTTATTATGGTTCTTGAATTTTGATTTTAGTTAAATGTAGGCCTTTGCTTATTGTAACTTAAATATAATCTTTCACCAGGAGCACATTGTACGAACGGGTAGTGGTTCTGTATCTGTTATTGTTTATGGAGATCCAGATAAGCCAGCTCTCGTCACTTACCCTGATTTAGCTTTAAACCGTGAGTAATTAGTTTCCTTCGCAATAAACTCCATTTTTTATTTTTTTTCTCCAATTTACGATTATTTTTGTCTGATTATGCGCTGCTCTGTGTTTCTACAGATATGTCTTGTTTTCAAGGGTTGTTCTTTTGTCCAGAAGCAGCAGCTTTGCTACTTCACAATTTCTGCGTTTACCATATCAGTCCTCCTGGTCACGAGGTTTGTAAGTTGTGTAATTATTTACTAATTTTTTGTGATTTTTATTTTTATTATCGATACTGAATTTTATTACTCACGGCAATTTTTTACGGGACTCTGATAAGAGTTCTTGCAGTTGGGAGCTTCTGCAATTTGTGATAGCAATCCTGTGCCGAGTGTTGATGATTTAGCAGATCAAATTCTTGAGGTGCTCAATTATTTTAGGTAACCTTAATTAATACCGCATTTGTGGAAATCTCTTAATCACCTTTGTATTATCATAGGGGGCTGTGATTATAAACGTGTTATTTAATTTGTTCAGGCTTGGTGCAGTTATGTGCATGGGTGCAATGGCTGGTGCTTACATCCTTACCTTGTTTACCGTATGTTTTCAATATTATTTTTCACCAGGTCGTTTATTTATTTAGTGTTTTCATAGTAATGAGGATTTATTTTTGAACAGATGAAATATAGGGAGCGAGTTGTCGGTTTGATCCTCGTTTCTCCTTTGTGCAAAGCACCATCTTGGACAGAATGGCTCTGTAACAAGGTACATATCTGCATTTTTGTACGAGTTTTTTGTTGCTGAAATTTAATTCAATATCGATGGCTAAAATTAGAGAATTGTTATGGAATTACGCAGGTGATGTCAAATTTGTTGTATTATTATGGTATGTGTAGCGTCCTGAAGGAATGTTTACTATACCGATATTTTAGCAAGGTAACTTGAATATATTTTTACAATCATTACTATATTATTGTGATTATTATGCCAACTAACATAAATTGATTATTATTTAATTTGCTTTACATTGAATTTATCAGGAAGTTCGTGGCAATGCCGAAGTTCCAGAATCAGATATAGTTGAAGCGTGCAGAAGAGTATGTGTCGATATGCATGCATTTATTTTCTTCTTTTTTTATTGGTAAATTTTGCTAGAGTATAACAACGCATTTTGTTTTTAAAAATCTTTCCGATTTTCCAGCTGCTAGACGAGAGGCAGAGCATAAATGTGCTACGTTTTCTTCAAGCAATAGATAGGTAAAGAAAAAAAAAAAAAAAAGAACCGAGATCATATTTATGGGTTCGTTTAAATTAAATTATTTAAAATTAAATTTGACAATGAACAGGAGACCCGACATAACTAGTGGTTTGAAGAAACTAAAGTGTCGAACGCTAGTATTTGTGGGTGACAATTCTCCGTTTCATTCAGATGCACTCGATATGATTGCTAAACTGGACAGAAGATACAGCGCCTTAGTTGAGGTACATGCATACGTAATAAATGGGTATAAATAAACGGGAGAATAAATAAAATACTGAAACAGATGTTTATTACATTTATTTACAGGTACAAAGGTTGTGGTTCGATGGTGACCGAAGAGCAGCCACAAGCAATGTTGACTTCGATGGAGTATTTTCTGATGGGGTTTGGTCTACATAGACCGAATCAGTTTAGTGGCAGCCCAAGGAGTCCACTCAGCCCTACTTGTATTTCGCCTGAACTTTTTTCTCCGGAAAGTATGGGATTGAAGCTAAAACCGATCAAGACTCGCCTTTCGTCGCAAAGATAATTACTTTATTTCTTAGTTTATTTTTGCTTCTGTAGATTGGAGACATAATTTTTTTTTTAAAATTTCATTTATTTGTGAAAATGAGTAAGAGGGGTGGGTGTGTTTAGATAGGAGAAGGAAATTCTTTATTGGACATAATATTGTGGGGGGTAGTTTGGTCATTAGAGTTATTTCTTGATTTGTTTCTCTATTTGTAAATCTTGGAGCTGACATTTATGAATAATGGAGAGCAAGTGAGCTGACATTTATTAATAATTCTTTTATTTTATAATTTGAGCTTGTTTTATATAGATTATAGTGGATTTATATTTAAATTATTTAATGGCTATTGAATATATTATTATGGATTAAAAAAAAATCAATTTCAGACGATTGGGCCGTCATCAAAACATCGTTTAAACGGCCCAAACTGTAGAAGGAGAATATTTGGAGTCTTGTCACGTGCTTTCCACGTGGTTCAATCGGATCTGAGAAACACGGCGGCGACACCGGGAAACTCACAATTTCTGGAGGCCGCAGAACCACGGAAAATGGCCGGAGAAATTGTGGTGATATTCGACTTCGATAGGACGCTGATCGAAGACGACAGCGACAGATGGGTGGTGACGAATATGGGTCTGACCCAATTGTTCAATCAGCTCCGACCCACATTGCCGTGGAACTCTCTCATGGTCTGCAATTTCTGTCTGTGTGTGTGTGTGTGTGTGTGTGTGTGTGTGTGTGTGTGTGTGTGTGTGTGTGTGTGTGTGTGCAGTACGATTATCAATTTAATTTGGGATAAAATATGGTTTATTTCTTCAATCAGTGGAAATTTCTTTAGGTTATTTATCAGGTTGACCATCCATGTCTTTTGATTGACTTGTGCAAAGTGTTTTTTTGAATTATATGTGTTGAAAGAAAGCCATTGTTGTGTAGGATAGGATGTTGGAGGAGCTCCACATTCGAGGAAAAACAATCGAAGAAATCTCCGACTGTTTAAAATCGATGCCTTTGCATCCCCATGTCATAGAAGCTATCAAATCAGCTCATGCTCTTGGGTATTTTCCTCACCATCTTCTCATTGTTCTTCAATTTTGATTATTTCTTTTTTCGGAATCTTTCATTCGTTTAGCGACTTCGTATAATATTTAACGGAAAAGACGATGCAAAAAAAATAAAAAAATTGGGGTGGTTGCAGATGCGATTTGAAGATTGTGAGTGACTCGAATATGTTCTACATCAAAACTATATTGGAACATCACGGAATTTACGAGTGTTTTTCCGAGATCACCACAAACCCTTCTGTCGTAGATAATCGAAGGCTTAGGATCTCTCCTTTCTCACCTTCGCCTCATGGTTGCGATCTCTGTCCTCCCAATCTATGCAAGGTCGATCATTTTTCGACCTTTTTTTTTAGACAAATTTTCTTTAAATGCCATTATTAATCTTGCGGTTAATATTGTTATATATAGGGGCGTGTGCTTGACCGGATCCAAGCTTCTACTACAGAAAGTGGGAGGAAAAGACAATTAATATACGTCGGCGATGGGATGAATGATTTTTGTCCAACTCTGAAGCTTGTTGAGAGAGACTGTGTAATGCCGAGAAAGAACTTCCCTTTGTGGAACCGTATAATGAAGAATCCTCAACTTGTTAGAGCGAAAATTCACGAGTGGGGCAAGGGTGAAGATCTCGCTAGAATCATGCTCGAACTTATTACTAACGAGTCGCATTGAAGATATGAAACAAGTTTATGAACTACTCAACTTATTGTCTTGTGAAATGCATCCTATGTTTCTGTAAATCGAACACATCAAGGTTTAATCGATGTGTGAAATTCAAGAACAAACTTGGTAATTGATGACAATTATTTTCTATATATATATATATATATATATATATCACAAATGAAACAGCCCTTCTCTTATTAATAGAATTGGGCAAGAAGACACCTAATTAGACCAATTCCTTGACTTGCTTGCCTTTTTATTTTTATATTATTATATTATTAATTTATTTTTTTAATTATAAATATTAAATTATTATTTTTCTCTTTTAAGTTGGGAATTGGAATCTAAATAGGCAAATACCAATGACTTGCGCAAAGCATATAAATAAATACAGTTAATTCCATACCAAACAACTGACTCAAAACCCCACAATTTCATCACAGCAAAACACCACAACAATTCAGTAAAACGTTTTCGATTCCTCTCTTTTTTTTGTTCTGTTTGTTCAACATACACGAAGAGAGAGAGAGAGTGTCGAGGGAGGATCTATCTCTCTCCCTCTCTCTCTGTGTACATATATACACACACACGCACACACACACACAAATACATACATGTCTGTATAATTCTTGATCAAGGAAGTAAGTAATTGGCAATGGAAGAGAAGAGAGAAGAGAGAGAAAAAGGGGTGTTTATGCCGAATGGGTTAATTGAAGGGACCCCTGTTTTCGTTAAAGAGCTGATTGCTGGCGGCGTAGCTGGTGGTTTTGCCAAGACCGTCGTTGCACCTCTCGAACGTGTCAAGATCTTGTTTCAGGTTAAACCATTTTTTTTCTTGTTCTTGATAACATTTTCTTGATTTTCTGTTCTTGATTTTTGTTCTTGATATTTGCTCTGGGGTTTGGGTACTTAGGATTGAGGAGGTGGGATACTTGTCTGAGTTTAATTTTCGGTGCTTGCATTGAAATTTACCAATTAATTACAGCAAACTTAGCTAATTGAGTCCATTGTTAGAATTGCTGCCGAAAATCACGGTTATAATTCGTTTAAACCGGTTGGTTTCGTAGAATCTTGTAATTGTTCCAGAGCAACTAGAACGAGATTATTTAACCAGAAAGAATTCGGTGCAGATGTAGGACACCTATCCAGAAGTTTTCGCAACTCAATCATAGATGATGGAATCATCAAAGATTTGACCTTTCAATCGCTCGGGCTCTCGGGAATTTTTTTTTCTTTTAAGATCCTACATTGTAAAAGTGGGCTGACTCTAGATTTGTATGAATGGTTTGCATTATTGAGAAAGTTTGTTGAGATTTAATGAGTGTAAACTTAGATTAGGTCTGCACTTTAAGATGCTATTTAATTTTAATTTCGACAATTAGTTGCCGTTTGATAATCATGAACTTTAACCTCCCTTTTTGTCCTAGATGAAGTTTGCCTCGATAATAAGCGAAAATGTGTGTTTTATAAGACAAACTGCAAATTAATGATTGAACCAAACTGCAAATAAGCCAACTCTTCAGCTTTTTTGGCCTCGTTATCCTTGGCTATATATTGCTTGCAAAAGTCGATAGATAATGTACTTCCATTGATGGTAGCTTTCATGATTGAAAAAGATTCGAAAAATTGAATCTTTTTTTTTTTTTTTTATCTTCATCGGTTATAAATTTTTAAAAGAAACTAACATGATTATATATCGTATATTTCCCAGACCAGGCGAGCCGAATTTCATAGCCTTGGCTTATCGGGATCCTTCTCAAAAATCATGAAAACAGAAGGGGTGCTTGGTTTTTATAGGTAGAACACTCTATTACCGACATAATAATTTATTTATTTATTTTTCTCATTTAATTGTTTCATTAATCTCAAACATATACGATTTCATTTACTTTTTAGAGGGAATGGAGCTAGCGTTGCTCGTATTGTGCCTTACGCAGCATTGCATTATATGGCCTACGAAGAATACCGAAGATGGGTAATTTCGGGATTTCCCGGCGTTGGGAGAGGTCCGGTTCTTGATCTTTTAGCTGGATCTTTTGCCGGCGGAACTGCTGTTCTTTTTACTTATCCACTCGATTTGGTCCGCACGAAATTAGCTTATCAGGCAAGTACCTATACAAGATTTTTCGTTCAAATGTTCCGTTTTTCGAAAATTAAAAAATCGAGCAATGATTTAAAATAGGACTCGTGCAGGTTGTAGAACCCTCGAAACTCAATATCAAAAGCCGTGCTTCAAAAGACGTAGTCTATAAAGGAATTCGAGATTGCTTCTCGAACATATATAAAGATGCTGGACTAAGAGGTCTCTACCGAGGTGTCGGTACGTTGCTTCGGTCGTATGATTTAACGGAATTTTTCTTTTTATTTTTTTTCCTAATAATTAATCTTTTTTCGCAGCTCCGTCACTCTATGGAATATTTCCGTATGCGGGATTAAAGTTTTATTTCTACGAGGAAATGAAAAGACACGTCCCTCAAAATCACAAAAATGACATCACCGTTAAACTTGTCTGCGGCTCCATTGCCGGTTTACTCGGTCAGACTTTCACTTATCCTCTCGATGTTGTCAGGCGACAAATGCAGGTATTAATTAATATATATAGTTATATACTTGTTTCCGATTCAGTGTTACATTAAGGCCTTGTTTGGTTGGCAAAACGATATTAATTAGATAATTATAGTTACTGTTTGGTTATTTTATCGGGAAATTGTGTATCGAAAAAAAAAAATCTCGTCTTGGCTAATCAGGTACAGCGGCTCGTAATATCTGATCATAACATTGCAAAGCGAGGGACAATAGAAACCCTTGTTATGATTTTCCAAACGCAAGGATGGAAGCAATTATTTTCCGGGCTCAGCATAAACTACTTGAAGGTGAACGAAAAATTCTCTCGTGCTTTTACGACTCGTTTTTTTTCTTCTTCATACACCAATTATTGAATGCGGTTTTTTTTTCTTTCTTTTTTTTTTTTTTTTTTGTATTGTGAGTTTCAGGTTGTGCCTTCGGTAGCAATTGGATTTACTGTTTACGATGTCATGAAGGCATACTTGCGAGTTCCATCGAGAGACGAGGCTGCGGTGGCAAAAGTTGTTGATATTCGTGAAAATAGCCACCCTTCTTCGATCCCTTCTTCTTCTTCGCCTTCGCTATCTCGAACTCAACAATAACCATTCTTTACCAGTTGTATATGGTATTGTGTGTGTGTGTTTTTTTTAATAATTGGCATCTGCAGCATTGCTTAGGTTAGTGTAATAAAACTACATTTATTGAAGATGTAAGTGTTAATATAGGCATATGAATAAAATTGCAACAAAAATATTCAATTGCGGTGAATAATCCATCGGAGTTTTACTATCGGGGCAATGTGCGTGCAACAAGAATAACATTTTGAAGGGGGCATTCACTTTTAAATTTTTTGAGGGGGTAAAGTGAGAAAATCAGAAATTTACAGGGGGTGGATGTGCAATTAAGCCCTAATATTTATATACATGGACCATGGCCCGATAGACCCAAATAAAACTATTAAGAAAAAAGCCCAAATCTGAGGCCCGTTGGTCCAAACAGGCATAAAGTATTCATTTTGGTCAACCTTGATTGGTCAACCCAGGAGCTGGCTCTACATTAAAAAAAAAAAAAAAACAATTACATGTACAACAAATGGTTGAGCAACGGTCTACTAGCACTAGCAGCAGTGAATGATATAGGGCGAGCTCAATGGGAGCACCTACCACCTCCGCCACCTCCGCCACCTCCGCCACTAGGCTGAAGAGAGAATATTTCAGGCGCACCAAACATGATTCTGCTTTCTCCGATTGGAAGGTCCTCTCTCTCTCTCACACACACACACACACACACACACACACACAGAGCAGTCTACGAGTGATGAGCTTTAATAATTTCCAAATGTTTCAATTTTATATGTTTGGTGATTTTGTGATGGTGATTGTTTGATTGACCTAGTTGCTCTGAGAGAATAATGGTTATTCCTTTTTTGAGCTTTCAGGAGTTTCAATTAGTAACAGCGAAGTAGTTTGGGACTTTGATTTTAGATTTATTTTTTCATTACAGTTAGCAATTGCTCAATCGAGATAATCAGGGGATCTATCTGGATTTCTCACGTTCTTCTGTTCATTTAATTGAAGGAGTTTTCGATTTTTTTTTTTATTTTTTTGTTCTTTCTTTTCGCTCTAATTGAAGGGTATGATGATAAATGTTCGGAATGTAACTCATTCGAACTCGAATCGAAACCATTGCCCACAATAATATTTGAAAACAATTGAGAAGGACTGTAAAACAAATGGCAAAGAAAGCAGTCACAGCTAGTTTTTGTCGAGTTCGGCCCCTTTTAAGGGCTTTTGCTCTATTTGTATCATCAAGTTGTGGCTGGGAATGTAGAATATGCTTTCGACGAAACAAGCACATGCTATTTTATTTTTTTTTGAATTTTATTTTTCAAAGTGGTAGTTGATTTGAGTTCTGGATCTCAATAGAATTTGCGTATTTTGTTCCTGGCATTAGATTTAAAGTGCTGATGAATATCCCGTCATTCTGTGCGGTTATTACCAGATTCTAATCGGAGCCTACGATTGGGAAGATCATTCAATGGCAAAACAAGGAGCGGAAAAGTACAGAACACAAAACCTTCCGAATTGGACTTCTTGTCCAGGAGTTTACGAACTTGGAATAGCTTCGTCACGCCCACATTCTGGGAGAGGGGCCCACCGCAAATTTGACTCGAACTCTGTAGTTCCTGTTTATCTCGGACAAGCCGACAATCTTAGGACAAGACTACAGCAGTACGGTCGTGATGGTTCCCATTTAGAGAGTCGATGTTCAAATAACAAACTTACAGACTGCCAAAGCGTTTCTTCGAATAAGGGGCTTGGATTATTCACCGGTGTATTCTCGAGAGGGTTGCCAATTGTTTACAGATGTGCTCCCGTAAGTAATTGTATCTACCGTATTAGTTTACTGAATGCTCGATCATTTGCTGGTGAGCTGAAAACCTTGTAGTGTAACAAATAAATATTCTCATTTATTTCTGGATTTTATTTTTCGATAGATGAAAAGCAAAAAGGACGCAGAGATAACCGAGAAACAGCTGCTCGAAAAATTCGATTACGCGTGGAACAAAGACAGCAACAACAAACGCCGCCAAGATGATGTCAGCATAAAACTCGACCGCATCGCAAAAGAATCCCAATTCTCCCTCCTAGCAAAGAAGTTCTTTTTTACCAACAACAAGAAAGTCGGCATTAGAATCAAAACTTGCCAGCCAAAGAACGGATCCGATAATCCAAGCGACACGAACAACAACAACACGACTTTTTCGAGGATATTCGGAATCAAGAGGCTGCAGCCTACACAGATGCAACATGGCTCACGTGATAACTGCACTAGTACTGATGGTATATGTGGAGTTGCCATTGGTCATGGATCTGTTTGTACCGCACCACCTGTCGTTGGACGAAAGCGATGCGCCGTGCACAAAGGACTGAGAATCAACGGCTGTAATTCGAAAGAGGGTGGCGATTTTCGAGATTCGGAATCGAGCCATACTTGTGGGTTTATCTTGGATGATGGTTCTGCTTGTGAAATGAAGCCTTTGAGAAGAAACAAAAGGTGTTTAGAGCATAAAGGAAGAAAGATTAGCAAATCTCAGATGAAAGTTTTTGTAAATTAATTGCATCATAATTCATATAACCCTAAATCAAAAACAAAATCGTTCTGTTTATCTATTGAATTAGATGAAATGAGTTAATTATGGCATCGAATTAGATTGAATTAGATGAAATTGAATTAATTGTGGAATCGGATTAGATTGAATTAGATGAGACTGAATTAATTATCTAGTTACTAATTAATTATTTGGTTAATGGTGCTGCTTAGATAAGATGTCACTATCAAATGGCGTTAATGTAATAAGATAATAATTTGAAAGGCCAATAATTAACACCAACTTTAATTAAATAAAATAAAATAAAAAATCAAATTGTCTCGTATGTGTATATATCATCATCCACAAATGCGGCAAAATACCAAATCATATCCACTGCCGCGAGACGATTAACCAAGAGAAAAACGACGACGTTTCCTCCGATGCCAGCTGGAGAATTCCGCCAGCCTTCGCCACCGCTGCCGCCGCCGGGGTCGGAGGAAGAGGAGGCGTGGGTGTGGACGCAGATCAAATCGGAGGCTCGTCGCGACGCCGAAGCCGAGCCGGCTCTGGCCAGCTACTTGTACTCGACGATCCTATCTCACTCCTCGTTGGAGCGTTCTCTCTCCTTCCACTTGGGGAACAAGCTATGCTCGTCGACGCTGCTTTCCACGCTTCTCTATGATCTGTTCCTCAACATTTTCTCCACCGACGCCGGCCTCCGCTCCGCCACCGTCGCCGACCTACGCGCCGCCCGTTTCCGTGACCCCGCCTGCGTTTCCTTCTCCCACTGCCTTCTCAATTACAAAGGATTCCTCGCTTGCCAGGTTAATTAATTTTCTTAATTTTCGAAATTGGTGATTTTGGGAGCAAGTGCTTGTGAATTTTTAGTAATTCGGAGTTTAGTAATTTTCGCCCAATTTTAGTTTATGCTCATAATTCTCTTATTTTGCTTTAGATAATAGATGCATATTTGATGCTCAGCTGCAAGCTTTTTTGCCTGTTACATCAGATTGCATTTTGTAGAGTACACTAGACAAGTTCATTAATTATCAAACAATCCTTGTTACATGGATAACTCTATGAATTGGTTTTTTTTCGATTTGTCGAATATTGTTTGAAGGTAGTTATGGTGTTTACTGTTCGGTGTCTTAGTTTGCACATCTGCGGGATTCGGGAGTTGTAAAATCGACCTTAAAAAATTTGGTGTAGGATCGGATTTCAGAAGTAATAGTATCTATATGTCACTATTTGCTGATTCTGTAAATTTTCCAGAATCGAGGAGAAGAACGTTAGACTTCTTGTCATGCTCCCGTAAATTTGGTTTCCTGTATATTAGAAGTCACAAATTGACGATTGATTCTTTAAAACCATAGTTAATGGACACTTCTTTATTGGATCAACCACTTTGAGAAACAAGGTTATCGCTTAACTATACGTACAAGTAGAAGTCATGTCTTAAAAGGCATAATCAGTGGGTCGGAAGTTTTCGTAGATAACCAAAGTAACATTACGAGAGACTAATAACAGCTCGAAAAGAACTGTACAGGTGGTTGTGAAGGTATACAAATTTAAAATGTCTTCACATCAAGACATTTTTTATATGTTACTGTTGTATATTTATATGTTCACTCATGAATTGAAACTCGTGTACATACAAATGTAATCAACATATTAACCTTTGCGTGCACTCTGATGTTTAATAGCTAATATTTTTGTTATGATTCTCAAGAATTTTTTTTTACAAAATTTACTTTCAGGCACACCGACTGGCTCACAAGCTGTGGACTCAATCCCGTAGGCCGTTAGCACTGGCGCTCCAGTCTCGAATCTCAGATGTCTTTGCCGTAGATATCCACCCCGCCGCCAAGATTGGAAAGGGCATCCTCTTCGACCACGCCACCGGAGTTGTGGTCGGAGAGACAGCTGTCATCGGAAACAACGTCTCCATCCTCCATCACGTAACCCTAGGCGGCACCGGCAAGTTTGGTGGGGACCGCCACCCCAAGATCGGCGACGGTGTGTTGATTGGTGCGGGGGCCACAATACTGGGGAACGTGAAGATCGGGGAGGGGGCCAAAATTGGTGCGGGGTCCGTCGTGTTGATTGACGTGCCACCTAGGACGACAGCTGTTGGTAATCCGGCTAGGTTGGTGGGGGGGAAAGAGCAGCCCACGAAGCACGAGGAAGTTCCTGGAGAGTCGATGGATCATACCTCGTTTATGTCTGGATGGTCGGATTATATTATATGAATATGACACAGCATATCAATATAGATGTGTAAAAGATTAGTAATATGATAGTACTTATTGCAATGTGTTCTTGTTTCTGTTCTTGTTACTGTTGCTGCATTCGTGCTGTGAGTTAATTTATAACAGCTTCAAGTATTGTGCTGCATTGGTTTTGCTTCGGTGATTAGCTAGATCATTTATGTTACGGTTACAATGGGGTTCAAAATTGGACGGATCGGAACGGAATTAACACTTTAGTAAAAAAAAAAATCAGTTTTTTTTAAATGAAAAAATAATTCCAATTATATTGTAAAAAAATCGTAAAAAAATCAGAATTGGAATTTCAGAAATTAAAATGTTTGATCAAAATAAGTGGAGTTTGGAATTTGTTTTAGTGACGTATATTGATATTATTAGGGTAATTTTATGAGAAAAAATGTTCAAAATTTTGAAAATAGAAACTGAAATTAAAATGGGATCAGAAATGGAAATCGAATTTGTATCTTCCTAAAAAAAATCGGATATTATACTATTGGTCTATTACTTACTACCTTCTGGTTTTGCCAAATTAAAAAAAAATAAAAAATTCTTTGTAAGCTTTTCAATCAATTTTTTTTCCTGGAAAAATACAAATTTCACCTGTTTGTACTAATTTCACGTCTGGTCCCCAATGTTCGCAGAAAAACACATGTGGTCCCTCTTGTTTCAACAATTCAACACTTTTAGCCATTTGCGTCAATTTTCCGCTAGTAATAACATGATCAAGCATGTGTCCCACACTGTCTTAACTGACGAACTAATGGTAAATCAACGGAAATGACAAAAAAATGTTAAATTATCGAAACACGATGGACCAAATGTGTAATTAGTACAACCTTGAGGGGTGAAAACTGTAATTTTTCCATTTTTTTCCCCTTAATCTCCAGTCGAAATATTTAATTAATTTCAAAAATCACAGACTATGAACACAAAAGGGTAGCACCGTAGTAGAAGGAAAATCCCTTTTCTTTTTTGGGTGGGAATAATGAATTCACTTTCACGAATTCGCCGGCCGTTCACCATTGCTGTTCAACGGCTCAATCTCCGAAGCTTCTCCAGTTCACTCCCATGTATTATTGCTTACAGTTACAGCTCTCTTTCATCTTTTTATGCATACATTCCCACTTTTATGTTATTTCATCTGTAGATTTTAAGGAGGAAGACAAATTGAACCCTACAGAAACGGGAAGCAACTGCAGCTTGGTTCATCCGTCCGCCGTAGTTCATCCGGAAGCCATTTTAGGTCAGGTATTGTCATTAATTTTCCAGTAATTTATCACAGTTAAGGAGAAAAATCAAAAAATAAAAATATAGGTCAAGTTAAATTAAATTCGAGAAGGTTCTAGGTTTAATTTGATTTCACATAAACAGTATGACCTGAATTTGTTTTGTTTATCACTCTGTTTAATGCATTGCAATTTGCAAGCTTTTGAAGCTAGGTTATATGAATTTTGATAAAGGCTACTCTAAATGTAGGGTGTTTCGGTCGGTCCTTTTTGTACCGTTGGAGCTTCTGCAAAGTTGGGGAATGCTTGTCAGTTATACCCTGGGAGCCATATTTCTGGAAATACGGAATTAGGAGATAACTGCATTTTAATGATGTAAGAAAATCGTATATAAATATCTAAGACTTTGAGTTCATAGTTCTTTATGCTACGTCTGTTTGAAGTTGAATCTGTTTACTGTGTGTCTGTTAGGGGTGCTGTAGTTGGTGATGATATTCCGGGCCGTACGATTATTGGATCCAACAATATTGTCGGGCATCATGCTGTGGTGGGCATTAAATGTCAAGATATGAAATACAAGGTTGGTTTCAAATTCTATATATCGAGGCCATATGAAATTGTAAGGCCGTATTATAAGGCCAATTTTTCATAAAATAAAATAAAAAAATCGTGTCTACCTTGAAATAGTTAGGGGAGTCTTTGAAGTGGTTACTTTATTATTATTATCTTAGCCAGGGAATGAATGTTTCCTTGAGATTGGTGACAATAACGAGATTAGAGAGTACACGTCCGTTCATCGATCTTCACACCCAAATGAAACAACAGTACGCAAACATAAACCTTTGCTTATTCTCTTACATTGCTTTTAGGATGCATCTATGTCTCATAAAATGTTTTTCAACAGATAATTGGCGATAACAATCTTATTATGGGATCTTGTCACATAGCACATGACTGCAAGATTGGTCACAATAACATTTTTGCAAATAATACTCTATTAGCAGGCCATGTTACTGTGGAGGTGAAAATCGTTGTTTCTTTTGTACTTTTTTTGCCTTCCATGGCAAGTTTCCGAGATGGTATTATCTCGTTTATAGTGATGAAGTGATTTATTTTGCAGGACTATACTCACACAGCAGGGGCAACTGTAATACACCAGTTTTGTCATATCGGTTCTTTTTCTTTTATTGGTGGTGGTTCGGTGGTAAGGAATTTCGATAATTTCGTAGCAATTTGTTATAGCATCTCTTTTCCATTTGTTTTTAAATGGATTTTTTTTTTCTTTTTAATATTGCTTTGTCTTTGACATATGTTGAAGGTTTCTCAAGATGTACCCAAGTACACAATGGTATGTGGTGAACGAGCTGGACTGCGTGGATTAAATCTAGAAGGGCTAAGGCGTCGTGGGTTTTCGATTGTGGAGGCTGGTTTTTCACTTCAATTTTTTCTTACTTCAAAAATCTATATGGAAATATGATAGCTTTGTCGTTAATTACATACTCTTGTATGGCTAACGACACATATTCTATTTATTATACACAGATAAAGAGCCTGAGAGCAGCGTATAGAAAAATATTTATGCCTAGTGAAGGAAATCTATTGGGCATCGAAGACCGCCTGACTGAATTGGTAATTCATCAATAGCAGATTTTTTTTTAATCTCGTTACTTAGCTTTACGAAAAAATAATGGATTTTTGTTTTCAGGAAAAGGATGAGGAACTGGGTCGAATTCCAGTGGTGTGTTTAATGGTAAAATCAATCCGAGATTCCTTTGCAGAGGATCGTCGTGGAATCTGCAAGTTTAGGTCCTGGACTGGATCTTCTTGATATTAGTACCTTTTTTTTATAAGTATTTGGTATTAGTACATTCAAGGTGATTTATGTGTCTTCTTTCGACAATGAAATTCGAGTTTCAGTCCACATTATTGGATTTTTCTTCTTCTTCAGTTCTACAGTTTAACATTCAACAAGGGTGAGTTAGAGTGGTAATTATTATTACACAGTCAGCACAATTTGGATACATATTTTGCTTGCTTGGATGATGTGGAATCTGTCATCCCTCCGCTTAGGAACGTTAATGTTTCGGTTACATTTGATTCTGAAATATTTTGATATTTTTTTTTTCTTAGATAAACAAATATTTTGATATGCTGTATATCTATTTTAGTATTGGACTGTAAGTTTGTAACTAATCATTAAATCATATATATATATTTTAATTTTGTTTTGAAATTTGAATTAAAATTTGTTTGTACTTTTTTCTGTAAATTGTATAAATAGAATTGAGACAAATTAATATCTCAGGAATTATACATATATATAATTATTTTTTTTTTGCAAATAATTGCATTTTATTCAGCTTATTTCATCACTCTCCCAAACCTAGAGAGAGAGAGAGAGAGAGAGAGAGAGAGAGAGAGAGTATTAACAAATTTAACAAGGACAAATGCGTCAAAAACTGGGTAACCGTACTTGCACTCTACTGCAGAAGTAGAATCACTGGAAGCGTAATTCCTGCAAAAATAGCCGATCAAAATTCAAAAATTGAAAATTGCCATTCCTACGAACATATTCCGAGCGCCACTGAATTTCACTGCTTCCGATCGAGAAAGCAAAACGAAAGAACTGTAAGTACACTTTCACGTATATAAGAACACATGTTTGATATTTTTTTTATAATTAGTGTAGAAGCGTACTGCTGATTACGAATCAGTAGTTTAGTCACTTGTGTTGGCTGCAATTAGTTAAATTTCTTCAATTTGTCGACACCCGGAATGAATTTCTACCCCCAATTTTGTCAGGTACATTTTCGAGGACAAATATATGTGATGCAGTACTGATTATATTTCTGCCCATGGAGATTGATCTCGAATTTTGTTCGGGGCAGGAACCCGGAATAAACCCCGGTGTGGGCATAAATAATGATATTGGGACTGTGATGAATTGTGGCATGCCTCGAAATGGTATGGAATTCGAGTCGAAGGAAACGGCGTATTCTTTCTATAACGAGTATGCTCGGAAAATAGGATTTGGGATCACAATAAAATCCAGCCGACGATCGAAGAAATCCGGCAAGTTCATCGATATCAAAATTGCTTGCTCTAGGTTTGGGAGCAACCGCCACTCCAACACGGCTATTAGTCCAAAATCATGCCCCAAAACGGACTGCAAAGCAAGCATGCACATCAAGAAAATACCCGATGGCAAGTGGTATATATGCAATTTTGTTCAGGAGCACAATCACGAAATTCGCCCTGACGACATCTATAATAATTCTGTGAGGGGAAAAAAGAATCGGAATGATAATGCTTTGTGCCGAAAGAAAGGGCTGCAGTTGGCTTTGGATGAGAGGGATGTTCAATTATTGCTCGATTATTTCATGTACATGCAGGCCGAGGCTCCTGGATTCTACTATGTACTAGATTTCGACAAAGAAGCATGTATGAGAAATGTGTTTTGGGTCGATCCAAAAGGTAGACATGATTATGTACATTTCAGTGACGTGGTCTTCTTTGATACTCATTACATTAAAAGCAAGTATGGCATTCCTTTCGTACCTATTATTGGAGTGAATCATCATTTTCAATTTGTTTTGCTTGGTTGCGCCTTGATTGGGGATGAATCACAGTCGACTTTTGTTTGGTTAATGCGCACATGGCTTAGGGCAGTTAGTGGCAACAGCCCCAAAGTGGTTATAACTGATAATGACAATTCACTTATCGAAGCTGTGTCTGAGGTTTTTCCTAATGCTTTCCATTGTTTTAGCCCTGGGCATGTGTTAAACGAAGTTGGTCCAACTTTAAGTCATAAATTGAGTGGGCTTGAAGTTTTCGTGCTGGAACTTAAAGAATGCATGTTTGGGTCCTGGTCGAATGAAGAATTTGAACACAGATGGAAAAATATGGTCAAAGAATTTGATCTTGCAGATGATAAGTGGATGCAATCGATGTACAAAGATCGTAGGAAATGGGTCCCGACTTACATGAGGCATGTTTTTCTTGGTGGATTTTGTACGGTCGAGAGATCACAAAGTGTAGCCTCTTTCTTCGACAAGTACTTGCAGAAAGAAACTAAAATCGAGGAGTTCATTGATCGGTACACGTTATTTTTGCACGAGAGGTGTGAAGAAGAAGCTAGGGCAGACATCGAAACTCACCATGCTCCACCAATATCAATTTCTCGTTCACCTTTCGAGAAGCAAATGTCTAGACTTTACACACATGCAACATTTAAAAAGTTTCAAAATGAAGTTTGGGGAATGGCTGCTTGTAGAGTTCGAAAGGAAGCCGAAGATGAGAAAACCATAACATTTCGGGTGGATGATCTCGAAAGAAAGCAGAGCTTTGCTTTATCATGGGATAAGGGGAAATGTGACATGTGCTGTTTATGCCGTTTGTTTGAATATAACGGATTTCTTTGTCGACATGCTTTATCAGTACTCGAACTATTAGGCATTTCCACTATCCCATCTGATTATATACTGAAGCGGTGGACACGAAAAGCAAAGATTAGAGATACAACTAATCCAGCATTAATTAATACAAACTTCAGGGTACAGCGCCTCAATTATCTTTGCAAAGTTGCTATGAAACTGAGTGAAGAAGGTTCTTCATCGGGTGAAGCTTATCAAGTTGCGTTCAATGCTATAGAAGAAGCATTGAAGCATTGCGTGGGCGTGAACAATTCTGAGAAGAGTGTCCTGGAAACTGATAGGACTGCTGCTCGAGGTCCTTACGGTAAAATAAAGAAAGTTTCAAAGAAGCAGCAGGTAAGTTTTGTATTGGGTTTTTCGAGAAATTTCGATAAGGAAGTTCCTGAAGAATAATTGTCTATTCATATTTTTAGGTGCGATCCGAGGATGAAACATTATCGTTTGGAATTGAGGAAAGCAGCCAGAATGTGGTTTGTCTTCATTGAAATTTTTATAATTATTTTTTTATATTGAGAACATATGCAGTTATATATTTATGCAGCTCCGATCAATGTTATAGGAGCAGTTGAACGAAAGATCTCGCAGCTTTCACGAGTCCTACATTTCTCAGCAGGACACGCAAGGGATGGTATGTCAAATTGTATGCTGCTTTCTGTGATGTTTTCTAAGCAAAACTTGTATGTTTGCAATAAACTATAATCTTGGTTATAGTCTGGTGTTTACTTTGGAATATTAGTACAGAGGAGTCGTGTTGTTGTGTTTAAACTTTAAAGTGATTTTTGGAATGAATATTGGCAGGGGAATTTGAATCCGAATACTCTATCTTCCTTGCACGATTGCTACTACAGTGACCAACCAATTACTCAGGGTGTTCTGGTAATAGTGCTCTGTATCCTTGTGAATCTACTATACGTAATATGTCGTTTTAAGAGAAGCTAAAGTTGTACTTAAACTCCTTTGCCTTTTCCATTTTAGGGAAATTTGAATGCAGTTTCGGCACATGTCAGCCATCATCATACCACCGAGCACAATCTGCAAGGAATGGTATTTGATTAATTGCACATAGGTCCTTCATGACCTTAATAATAATTATTATTGTTATGTCTAAGCACTGTTATCTCAAATTGTAATTTGCAGTTGCAGGGACAATTTAGTTTCGGAGCATCGTCGGTGGAAGGCTGTTTTCAACTAACGGATCGCTTACACAATGTATTATGAGTACCAAACATATCATTTTTACGCCTGGTTTCATTTTCACTATAATCTTTTCCAACTGGGCCTTTTTTTATTTATTTATTTTTTTCTGCAGGAAACTTCTGTAAATAGGACGTCAAAGCACTTGCATGATTAGCATCTTGCTACTCTGGTTATCTGCTCGTTTAATCAATAGAAAATGGTAATTTTGCATGCATTGATGTGCTTTCTCTACTGTGAACTCTTTTATGCTATAAATAATTTATTTGTATGTGATTATATGAACTGAGATGATGATAATCGCTTGGTGCTATTAATCCATTCAACTTTACATTTGGTTCGACACTTCCTATGTTCCAAAAATCACCATTTCAGTATTCGTCAAAATTAATAATACCCCGAAATAGTGAAGTATCTGCTAAACTTAACCTTCTCATTTCCTCTGTCATAGTTGGTTTGGAGAACAACGAAGAGAGCAGAATTTGTCGGATCAAGAACAATGCCAACATAACAAAATCGATAAATAGAAAAAGTTTAACGGGCCATTGGTAGGATTGGCATAGACCGAGATTTTTTCGTTTCGAAGTTACGAAATATTGATTGTGTTTTCAACTTTTGAGCCAAAAGAAAAGGTACTGGGGAGTTAGGAAAATATCTTTTTCAAGGCAATAATGGAGGTACTTTTCTGCACGATGAAGATAATGTTTGGGCACAAATTTATATTTAAAGCCAAGAACTACTTATCTTTAAGAGCTTAATCATTTAAAAGAAGATCAGGAGTATCCTCTAGTTAATTATTTTTTAGATAAAGTAAGTTCATTAGAAAATTCTTATCTATATTGTCAATTTTTTTTATATATAAACAATTGAAATCATTATCATCACTATGTATATGGTTGCGGGTTCTTTCGTCGAATGTTAAATTTTAGGTTAAAGAAAGGAAAAAAAACTAAAAATGTTTTAGTTTACTTGTTTGAGACGAACACATGTTCGATTTCTATTGGAAAAATATACGAATTCAATCTATGGAATACCATAGCCACCTTCCCCAGATACATAGAATTCTAGAAAGCCCCTGTCAGAAACTGTCAGCATCTTGATTAGAAAATTTTAGAAGTTGATTGTCTATGTGATTTGTGTCTTTAATCTCGAAGTTACGTAATTAAGATAATTATAACAAGAGATTATGGAAAGGTTTATCTTTATGGGGAAAACATCAAATCTATGGGAAGTGGATTTGATGAATGCTAATTGATGTCAACATTCTTGATAAACAAATAATGGTCCCCCCTTTGTCTCTGAAATTGGCAATTGACACTTCAAAAATAGTACTCACATGAAAGTTAGCCTTTACCTTCTATTACTCTCTTTGCTCCTTATATACATATACATGTGTGTGTGTGTGACTGTGTGTGTGTGAGAGAGATGATTTAAGTTGGCAAAAAATATCAAGCATAAAACAAATGTCCATCCAATCATCTACATATGGTGTGGGAACATTTTCATAAACCCCACTCACCCTTATACATCATATCATATCACATATATACTTATCAGTAATTTCTCTATATTTCTATCTTTCTCTCTCTCACACACATACACACACACACATAGAGAGATACCAGAGAGTGCATGTAGGGGTGTCTGTCTAAATTAAGGTGTTGGTGGTTTGGAAGTTTTGAGGTTGTTTGTGTTGATGAAAATGGGGAGAAAATGCTCACAATGTGGGAACATAGGCCACAATTCAAGAACTTGCAATAACATTTCCAAAGGGGCAGCCATTAACGGTGTTTGTGGATCAGTGAGACTGTTTGGTGTGCAGCTTGATAATATCTCCTCGTATTCGTATACTAATAATAATAATATTCACATGAAGAAAAGCTTCAGCTTGGACTGCTTATCGTCCACACCGTCAGCCCTATCGTCTTCTTCCTCCTTATCGTCTTCGACAAGAATTCCAATCAACGATGATAAAGCATCCATCGGTTATCTCTCTGATGGCAATTTAGCCAGAATCCCTGAAAGAAAGAAAGGTATTTATCTTCTTTATCTGTGTGTGTGTGTGTGAGAAAAAGATTTGCAGGTAGATTATTATGCAGTTGAGAAGCATTAATATCCCGAGGGAATAATAACTTTTTGTTTGTTTGTTTGTTTTACTCTTGTCTGGTTTTATATGGCAAAAAATACTAGTATATATATATGTATATATATCCATGTTTGTTCCTACCTCTCTTTTCCTCCAAGCCCGTGTTCTCGTTCCGTAATCATTTCTTGTCCCCTGTCCGAAAAGATGAGAATTTTCATTTTTTTAATTTTTTAATTTTTTTTTTTAAATTCGTCTAGGAGTTCCATGGACAGAAGAGGAACATCGAACATTCCTAATAGGGCTGGAGAAGCTTGGAAAGGGAGATTGGAGGGGAATTTCAAGAAACTATGTAACTTCGAGAACACCAACTCAAGTTGCTAGTCATGCTCAGAAGTATTTTCTCCGACAAGCCTCCATCACCAAGAAAAAACGACGTTCCAGCCTCTTCGACATGGTATTTATAATCATAATCTAACAAAAAAAAAAAAAAAAATTGGAAATAATGAACTTGTCTCGGCTAATATGGCTATACATATACCACAGGCTGGTGGAAAAGACAATGCTGGTTCGGAAAAAGTCTCCACAAACAACTCGAAATGGCGAGTTCGTTTTGACCTGAATTCATTTGGAGGCGATGAAGATGATGATGATTGCAAGAAATCAAGCGAGCGAGAATGTGGTGGCGAAATATCTCCATTAATTGCTTCTTCACAAGAAAATTTCGTTTGGTCATACGAATCTTCTTACTCTTCAAATGCAGGAGCTCCACCTTTGGAACTTACATTATCAGCTCCAATGGGACCGATTGGCGTCTCTTGATCCTTATGAATAATTTGTTATCGAGCATTCTAGTTATCTATTATGCTGTAGTATTGCAATAATTTGTTAATTTAATTACAACTTAAAAAGTATTTTTACAGTCTGGTGTTTTGGTTTTATAGCTATATAATGTTGCAAGTAATTAGACAGCACTGTAAAGTTTTGAGCTTGAGTTATCAACGGAACGTAATTGATTGTACTAGTTTCGACCCGTGAATAGACACAATTGAATAATACAGGGTTGACCGTGTATAATAATGAAACCATGATCGACCCGTTTGAAACGTTAATGTTTATTTTACTCGGTCCAAGTCAATAAATATTAAAACGATACGTCCATTTTACTTGGGACCATCTAGTTTTCTAGTCTCGGCTAATTAACAATAGCCTATATGATACTCGAGAGAATGTGTTTAGAGTCAAAATTAAATGATACACTTCTCTAACGACGTCGATTTTTTCGATAAGATGATTATTCATCGTAAAACTAACGAGCTTTCCGTTTAGCTAATGTTATATTTAATTCAAATTATATGAAGAATTTGATTTAGACTTGCACTTTTATTGATTTCAAGTTTCTAAGTCAAGTCCTTGAAAAAAATTCCAACCTTAGGATTTAGAAGAGTAGACTAGTAGTTGGGGTTGGAATATATGTACATGTATATATATGTATATGTGTATATATAATTATATATATATATATATATATATATATATATATATATATATATATAGAGAGAGAGAGAGAGAGAGAGAGAGAGAGAGAGAGAAGAAGGTCCGTACAAGTTTTGATTCAAGTAGTAGTACATCCATGTTAGGTGAATTTAGACAAGAGGATTCACTGGCTATGTTTGTCTTTCACGAAAATAGCCAAAAGACTAAGAAATTATATTGATTTTTTAGGGCGAAAAACAACTGAAATGTTAAATGTCAGTTTCAATTTTACGAATATCGTTTTGAATTCGAATGTGACTTTGACCATTTTCTAGTTTGATATTGGCAAAATTCAAAGCACGGGAATTGTAGTCATTTTAGTTAGCATTCTAATCAAACTTGAATCAGCTAAATTGGACGTCAGATGACAAAATTATGCATGAATGAGTTACACTTTAAATTTTATATAAACTAAAAACATCAAAGTTGTGGTTCATATATATCTTTCTCACCCGACATCCAATCTTGACGATTCGATTTGGATTACAAAGGTAAGTCAAAGAACTAAAAATTATGTGTTTTGAGTTCTGCAAAATTCCAAGTCCAAGTTGTTCAAAATCACATTTAAAATCGGAACAATGTAATTAAAACTGAAACGACATTCACCGCACCAAAAAAAACATATATTTTTCCTTATGCATGAAAATATGAATGGATGCAACTTGTAATTATGTCTCATGCAGATATAGACAAGTCTTGATTTCAACATTATATATATATATAGACACACACATAAGTATATATAAATGGACCACACCAGCAAAAAAAAAAAAAAAAAAAAAAAAACTGGTCCTGGAAATTTCAATTTTCATGGCTGTCTTTTGGAACCTACTTACTCTAGGTGAAGCAAAAGTGGGGTGTGAGTATTTAATTTGGATACCATAAATCAGCAGTGTAGCAAATATACCATATAATTCATCTTATATTCAAATAAATACATATTATAATTCCAAGAATATCAATAAATACAAACCTTACTCAGCTGTCTTTTCGCTTTTCAGATACAATGACTCTGGTAAACGACAATCCTGTAACTATCGATCAAGACTTTAAAATTATTTTATCTTTTTATATATTATTAATAATAAATATTATTATTATTATTATTATTATTATTATTATTATTATTATTATTATTATTATTATTATTATTATTATTATTATTATTATTATGATATCCATACACAGGGGCGGAACCAGTATTAGAAAGTAGGGGTGGCTAACTAAAATTTCGGGGTTCGGGCCAGCGCCCCGAAAAAAAATTTAGGTTCACAAGACATTGAAAAAAATAGGTTTATACTGCGAAAAAAATTACGACACATATCTATAATATAATATATATCTATAATTTATATAAAATTATGGAGAATAAACAAAAAAGTAAGGGTTAAGAAACATATTTACAAAATCTTTGGGGGGTCAAAAGTAATATTCAAAAAATATTAGGTCAAAATAGCTATAAAAAAAAAAAAATTCTTGGGGGGGGCAACAGCCCCCCTGCCCCTTAGAAGCTCCGCCAGTGTCCATACATATATTATATATATACCCAACTTGTTTTTCATCTGCACACAAATTTATTTTGCCACTTTTTAAATATAGTATTATATTTCTTCGAGATTCATAACATGTTCGGTTGTAGAGATTCAAACGAATGCAGGCTATCAATAAAAGTTATAATTAGAAGATGTCTTCCTATCTTTGTGATTAATTTTGCAGGTAATTAATGACTAATAAAGCTAAAAGATGAAAAATGACAATTTTACCCCTGAGTTAGTTTGTTATTGACCTATCGGATTTAATACCAGATTTTAACAAATTTTGATAATGTGGATTTGATGACGTGTAAAATGTGCAAGTTGGATGAATTCATAAAAAAAATAGGACCACAGAAGAAGGTAGAAGAAGTTGTGTAGTTTGTCATGACTTTTGGTTTTATCTATCCTATACCCGGTGAAGGTTACACCAGGTGATTTTTAACCGTTGATCTACACATACCAATGTGGGTGTGTGTGTGTTTGTGTGTATATAAATGATAAAGATCTACCCGGTGTAGGATCTCAAAAGCCATGACTTTTATATATGTAAATATTACTTATTAGTGATGGTGAAATAAGGAACTTTTTCCAGCTATAGTTTTAGATTTAATTGAGGTATGCAAAAAGAGCTTTGTCTATATTCAGACACGTTTTGCACTTCAATACCGTATGTATATTTACTTAGTAAAAGTGGTCCATTTTCTTATTCCTTTGGGATATATAATTTCACCTATCTTTATTAATTCTCTTCACAAAATAAGACATTTTTCCTTTGTTTAATATTATTTCAAAATCGAAAAGAAAAATCATATTATAATCGACAGAATTCAAGAAAATATTTCAAATATGTACCCATAATTGTGTGTGAGCTATGAGTTGAGACACCACATGATAAGGTTTGTGGGATTAAGATGTTTGTATGAGACAAAGGATGAAAAGACAACAAGAAAGACAAATTTTGTCCTTCGGAATTGGATGAACTATGATATGTACTTTTACAATACTACCCTTTCCCACTTAGGACAAAACACTAATTCCGGACAACAATGAGGTCCCCTTTGCAATTTCATCAAAAACTAATTAATGATACCAAACTACAAACTTCCAACTTGCTACCCATAACTTTCTAACATGTTATGGCCTCAATTTTGACCTTGTTAACAAGATGTTGACTTCTATTATTCAACTTGGATGCTACAATAAATAAATAAATATATATATATATATATATATATATATATATATGGGTAAATTACATTCATTGTATCACAAAACAAATAATACTTTGACTCGCCACACTATTTCTCAATTTATTTATTTAATTTAATTTTTTTTATTTATTTTTTATTTTTTTTTTGCATTTGAGAAGGCATTTGTTTGATCTTTATATATATTATTATTAAAAAAAAAAAAAAAAAAAAAACCGACCGAACAACCTAAGAAATTTTCCTGCATGACAATGGTTAGAAAATTTGAAAAAACAAAAGCTAATTGCAAAGATAGGGTTCGAATGATTGAGAACAAAATTGGGTGTTTTTTTTTTTTTTAATATAAAATCTAAAACTATGTGAATAAGACAATCTAGGTAGTAGCTTCTTACATTATCATAATTAAACAAAAAACATAAGGCAGCGACTATTTGCAAGACGAAATTTACTTAGTGCAAGACCAATTTAATTTTTTTTATTAAATTCAGTATAAAAAGACTATAATAACCTTAATAAAATACAAACAAAAAAAAATTATTTTATTAATTTTCTTTTGCAAGACCAATTTAAAAAAAAAAATTAATAAAACAAAAAGAAAAAAGAAATTGAATTGACAAAATCAAAACGAGGAGGGAAGATTGAAGAAAACAAAAAAATCAATTGCAGCAAAAAACCGTTCGTCGCCCCGTCGCCCGCCGCCCCGTCGCCGTCGCCGTTGAAGTCCACCGCCGTCGCCCGTCGCCGTTGAACTCCGTTGTTGCCCCAACCCCGCCGCAACAATCTCACGAAAAACAAGTAAAAATTACTTTTTGAATTAACTTTTTTTTGAGAAATAAATGTGATAAACATGATTTTATTGTTAGAATAATGAATTCAAGTCGTTTTAGAACATAGTTGATGATTCTAGGGTTCGATTGTAGCACTAATGTTGAAGGAGTTGCGGTTTTACAAAAATCGACCTGTACTTGTCGGTTTTTTGGAAAATTTTCGACACACTGGTGTCGATTGTTTAAACAAATTTCTGGTACAAAACTCTGCAAGAAAAATCGGAAAATTGGTTACACAATTGTAAAGTGATAATTCGACACACTAGCGTCGAAATATCCGCTTAATATCGACACCAGAATGTCGATAATTTCAATATAATTCGACAGTTAATGGGTGTCGAATTATTTTGACATTTTCGACACTGCAGTGTCGATATAAAGCTGATATTTCGACCTGTACATGTCGATTTTTTTGTACGTGAAATGAGGTGCGAAAAACGATCACAAAGTACAATATTTCTTACCTCTTTGTGTTTTTCGACCTTAGAATCCTCCATATTCATGTCTTGTGTATCCATAATGTCCTTCTTTTCAAGTTTTAGTAAGATTTGAGGGTTTTATGTGATAAGGGTTTTGGAGAATATGGAAGATTTTTTTGTGGAAAAAAAATGTGTAAAATGAGGGTGAAGAAGAAGATGTTGGTGTTTTGTTGGGTGAGTGAGTTCCCTCTCTTTTTTCTTTTTTTTTTTTTTTATTCTTTTTTTTGTATTTTTTTTTGGTCTTGCAATAGCAATTAACTTAATTTAAATTAATAATATCTAAATTATTATTGGGGTTATATTTGTAATTTCCAGTCTTGATCTTAGTAAATTTATTTATATTTTGGTCTTGCATGAAGTAAGGTCTTGCACTTAGTAATTTTCGTCTTGCAAATATCTGTAGCCAAAACATAATGGGACAGCCCAATATGTATACCGCCCATTGGAAAGAAAAAAAAAAAGTAAGCCCATGGTTTCATTTTGGTTGGGCTCTCTCATTTTTTTATTCTACTTTATTGAGTTATTTTTTTTATTTTTTTATTAAAAGTAAATCATGGCAGTCGAGCTTGAATGAAATGATAAAGGTTTGTTTGAACTCGTTTTGTGAACAAAGTGAACCCATAATTGGGAACATTTATGTGCGACACAAGATATGAAACTTGACTCAAACTCGAATATAGAACGATAAAAATTCGAATAAATTCGAAAAATTAATTAATATTATGTTGTGGTGGAGCCAATATGATTATTGCCCATATCTAAAGTCACCTCATTCAATGGCACACTTGCACTTGGTTTTACCAAAACAATGATCTACAATGCAAGCCAATTACAATACTTTTAATACAAGAAAATTTTGAATAATAGTACTAATCCCATTAGACATGCTAAAAAGAAAAAAAAATAAAAAATGTCCCTTACGGGTCACCTAGTTGGCAGAGCAAGATAATTTTAACCAGAGTTGAAACTCTCACATGGTTAGTTGAAACTCTCACATGGTTAGCTGAATATGATTTTTATTTTTCGTATTTTTTGTGTAATTAGTGAGTTACTGCACGAAAACAGAGTTTATTCACTGCAGTTCGAATAGTTGCGAGTTCTATTAAATGCACGTAGTTGGAGGTTTAATTCACATGGGGGAGGAGGTGAAAGGAAGCATCCTATCAAGAAAAAAAAACAAAGAAAGAAATTCTTCAACAAGAATGAAGCAAAGATATATGGGAGACAAATAAAATAATAGATTTGATTTGAAGTCAAATTATTATTAAAAGCTTAAAATCACATGGTGATGGTGGAGTGGTGGTCTGAATATGGGCCTTAATTAACCTTCCTCGTTTTTCCCCAAAGCGCCAAACTAATTAATCTACTTTCAGTAAGTTTACCGTTAACATGTAACTAACCATAATTGTAATAAAATATATACATATGTAATAATGTGTATATTCAACATTCCCCAACTGCTGCCTATATATATACACCCCATCAACTAACTCTCATATATCGCATTCAAACATATATACACAAGAACAATAAAACTGTGAAGATGGAAATACCCGTGATCGACTTTAGCGAGCTCGACGGCGAGAAACGAAGCAACACGATGGTGCTTCTGCACGAGGCTTGCGAAAAATGGGGCTTCTTTATGGTAACTGAAATTTAATTTCAACGCGAATTCTTTTTTTTTTTTTTTTTTCGGAAAATAATTGCGTTTTTTCTTTCTTCGGTACGTTTAGATTGAGAACCATGGAATTGATAAAGACATCATGGAGAAGGTGAAGCTTTTAATGAACACTCATTACGAAGTCAATATGAAAGAGAGCTTCTACAACTCGGATACAGCGAAGAAAATGGAGAGCAACGAGTTTATTAAGGACAAAGATTGGGAGAGCACTTTCTTCGTTTGGCACCGCCCGAATTCCAACATCAACGATCTCTCCGGCCTCTCCAAAGACCTCCAGTAAGTTTTAAAAAACACGAAATAATTCGATCTTGCATCGAAAAAAATTAATGTACGCCCGTATATGCAGAAAGGCAATGGACGAATACATCGAGCAACTAATCAAGTTAGCAGAGAATCTATCGGAGCTCATGTGCGAGAATCTTGGAATCGACAAGGATCGCATAAAGGATGCATTCTCGGGAAGTGTGGGCCCCACTGTGGGGACAAAAGCAGCAGTTTATCCTCAGTGTCCGAATCCTGAGCTTATAAGAGGGCTCAGGGAGCACACGGATGCAGGCGGGATTATTCTCTTGCTCCAAGACGATCAAGTGCCGGGGCTCGAGTTTTTCAAAGACGGGAAATGGGTTAAAATCCCGCCTTCGAAGAACAACAGAATATTCATAAACACGGGCGATCAGATCGAGATACTGAGTAATGGAGTATACAAGAGTGCTCTGCACAGGGTGATGGCAATGAAAGATGGGAATAGGCTCTCGATTGCCACTTTCTATAACCCGTGCGGCGATGCGGTTATTTCCCCTGCTCCGGAGCTTTTGCTTCCGAATTGTGTTCGTTTTCGAGATTATCTGAGTTTTTACTCGAAAACGAAGTTCGGAGACAAGGGTTTTAGGTTTCAGTCCTTGAAGAACATGGCTAATGGGAAAGAAGAGGTTCTTAAGGCAGAGAAGTGAGGGTTATACTTATACCAGCCTGCTAATATGTAATAATACTTTGTGCTGTGTGCTATTTCTCTGTGTGCTGTGTGCTATGTGTGTGTGTGTGTGTGTGTGTGTTTTCTTGTTTAAGTTTTGGCTGTCAAAGTTCAAGAGAAGCTGCTATAAAACTGCTTCCTTAACTTTTTCCTACCTAAATAAAGTGAGTGTTTGTGTATGCATAAATAATAAAGTTTAAATATATAAATATGTTTTAACTATTAAGTCTTTTTTGGGCATTTTCACAAGCACTCTGGATTACTTACTAACTTCCTAAATTGAGTCTATTAATGAAGGGCATTCTAGTCACTTCAGCTGGGTAATGAGCTCACTGTAATGTAACGGAAACTTAAAATGGAGGAATACAGTGTCCAAAGTATAGTACTTGAAACTCACTAGTATATGAAACTAGCCAAAAGAGATTTACGAGCTAAACCCCTTCTTTTTCCTATCATTCATCTCATCTCTCGTAAGAAAATGGAAAGTGGAATTCCTAAAATTGAAATGAAAATCATATTCCGAAGTCGAACCTTTTTTTTATAATCAAAATCTCTGGTAATTTAAAATCATAACTTGAAATGAAAATCATATTCCGAAGTCGAACTTTTTTTTAAATCAAAATCTCTGGTAATTTAAAATCATAACTTTTATATATTTATAATGTAAATAATATAAGAAGATTGAGATTATGAATGTAATTATTGAGGAAAAAAAAAAACAAATTAAGGGCCCAACCGGGTTCGAACCGGTGACCTATTGATCTGCAGTCAATTGCTCTACCACTGAGCTATGGACCCATTGTTGTTTGGTTCTTTTCTAATATTTGATATTACTTTTAAGTTTGTAACATGATTTTTCTTTTTTACAATATTCTGTCTTATTCTATTTACAGCTTTGACTTAAAACACTTTTCTCTCTCACACATTCCTCTCAGTATAGATCACATGTACTGTGTGTCTGTCCGTTTCACACTGGGATCAATCCTCTGTTCGATCCTCCTCCTCCAACAGAGCATCTCCGCCGCCTCACCTCTTTCCACACACTAAAAATGGCAGTGAGCAACAACCTCACAGCTTTACTCAACTTCGTCGCACTGATGTGCTCAATCCCCATCATCTCCGCCGGAATATGGCTCGCCTCCAAGCCCGACAACGACTGCATCCGTTGGCTCCGGTGGCCCCTCGTCTTCATCGGACTCGCCTTCCTGCTCGTGACCCTCACCGGATTCGTCGGCGCGTACTGGAAGAAGGAGGGACTTCTCGGCGTCTACCTTGTCTGCATGTTCATCCTCATCGTGCTTCTCCTCGTCGTCCTCGTGCTCGCCTTCGTCGTCACGCGCCCCAACGGCGCGTACGCATCCCCCGGGATGGGGTTCCACGAGTACAGGCTGGAGGGTTTCTCTTCTTGGCTGAGGGACCACGTCACCAGCAGCGACAACTGGGGCGGTATAAGGGCCTGTTTGGCTGACTCACAAACTTGTCCTAAGCTTAATCAGAGATTTATTTCTGCTGCTGATTTCTTCGCTGCCCATCTCTCTCCTGTTCAGGTTTTTTTAAATTTTAATTTTTTTATTATTTCTTTATTAAATTATAATTAATGGAGTTTAAGGAAATTGCTTATTTCTTTCAAATTCAATCATTAAATTACAAAATTAAATTGATTTAAATTAACAAAATAAGATTAACTGTAACTTCAGTTCACCTGCCTCCTTAAAAATCCAGTCTGTAATCCTGCTCTGTTTCTTGAATCTTCCCTAATGGTGGGTCCCTTTTATCATTTTTTGTCATCTGTAATAAAAATCCCTGTCTCCACTAATGAGTTTACACAAAGGCACCGTTCGGTCACCATAATTTACATTAATCAAATACTCGTCGGGTAGAGATTTCGCCTTTACTGGTGCAAGAGTTTCAAGCATAATATTTTTTTCCATCTTTACCCCCAACATTAATAATAAATTAACAAATTAATGGATATAGATTAATTGAAGTGAAAAAGAAAAGATGAAAGTCACAAAGGGGCAATTTGGACTTTTTGCCCCGGAAATTAAGATCATATATTGTATTCTGAAAGATATAAATATATAAAGTTGTTTTAGTAGTGGCCGAAAGGTATCCTATTCCTATGCTCTATAACTGTCTTAATCACATTTTGATGATCTAATTCTAATATATTCTTTTTGAAAAATCTTATTCGGGCCGGGCTACAGTCGGGTTGCTGCAAGCCTCCGATGATATGCGGGCTCCAGTACTCAAGCCCGACAACATGGGTCGGGCCGCCCAACGCAGCAGTAGATCCAGATTGTGTTATATGGAACAACGATCCGAGCCAACTCTGCTACAACTGCAATTCTTGCAAAGCGGGCTTGCTCGGGAATTTACGGCACGAGTGGAGGAAAGTGAATGTGGTGCTAATAGTGACGGTTGTGGTTTTGATATGGGTTTATCTCATAGCTTGCAGTGCTTACAAGAACGCCCAAACGGAGGAACTTTTCCGTAAATACAAACAAGGATGGGCTTAAAATAATAATAATCGTAAGCATTAATAAGCGAACGCTTTATTTCGACTTTTTCTTTTTTTCCGGCAACTTTTCGTGACGTTTTATTGGCTTTGTATATATTCTTTTGCTTGTAGTTTTGTGCTTTCGCTTTTTGAGTTATGGTATTTGGAGTTCATGTTCTTGATCTTTTGTGTTAGAATGGAATGAGAATATTATTTTTGAACTCTTTATGTTATATTGGACTCCTTTCAATTAAAGTCTATTTTTTCCAGGAATATTTTGATCACATGTACGTGTCAATAGTCCATTGGTCCTTTGCCCTTAGCAATATATTCTGCAATATGAATGTGGTGTATAGTTGTATGTATACATTTATATATGCGGTAAATTACGGCCACCCTTGAGGTAAGACCAAATTACGAAAATTCCCTCGCGTTGAATTTTTTTCAACATAATCTTCTCAACTCCATGAAATATTTTCTAGTCTGTACTCGTTTTGTGCAAAACTGCAGTTTCCGATGCATCACAATCTGATATTTATAAGTCAATATACAGTAGAACTACGATAAATTAATACTCGAGAAATTAATAACCTTGCTTAAATAATAGTTTCTTTTGATCCCGACTCGATAAAAACCTACCAAATTATTAGTTCAATAATTTAATATTTCACTAAATGAATAGAATTTTATTCGTCCCAACTCTATTGTTTTATAGAGGTTTAACTGTACACATCTCATGATTATCTTGTTTCTATATGAGGAGCTAAAATGGGATAAAACGAAACAAAATTAAAAACATTCCACATAATCTAGAAGATTCCACTAAATTGACACTGCAAGGGTGGACATTTAAGAAGAATCATAATTGAGGGGTGATTTTAATTATCCAAATATGAGGAGTTTTTTCGTAATTTAATCGTACATCCAGATTGGCCCTTACATCAATGTTTGAATCATATTATTCTATGTTAGAAACCCTTAAATCAATGTTTGAATCATATTATTCTATGTAATAAGAGTCCGAGTCGGCTTATCGGTACTATAATCATGCATGTATTACATGTATATATGTGTTAATTTAATTATCTATTTATCTCTATGTACACAAATTGTTACTATTATGTTTCTTCAAGATGATATTTATATTTAAATTATAAGGCATGTGAGTTTGCAATATTCCCAGACAAATGCACCGAAACCACCAACACATTCTCTCGTGTTTGATCGACTTTCATATAAAAAATAAAGCATAATATTCGAGCAAGTTACATGCATTTATCCAGAATGCACGCCGAAAACAGAAACATTGAATCGAAGGCTCACCGTTTTCCGAGGGACTAATTTGTGATCCTGAGTCAGGCTGATAATTTCCTCGAGTACACGATATACATAGGATCGGTTCGACCAGGGTTTGGCGATATATCTACTGCCTAAAAATATTATTTAAGAAAAATGAAAAGAAAAAAAAAATTGGTAAAAAACGAGAATTTTAGAAATTTATTAAGTAAGAAAAAAATTGGATATGGATTAATTACCTTAGGAGGCTCAAATCCTCCAGCATAATGAAAATATGCTCCGACTATCATTACATGATCAGAATCTCCGGTTGATGTCCAGATCGAAATTGCCTTTGTCCAGAAACATCGATTAGAGAAGCTTCATGGCAAAAGTCACAAAATTAGACGAATTATTTAAATTATAAAAAAAAATTATTAATGGAAGTGATTAAATATACCTCATAATAGCAAGTCCACCTGGTTTGAGGATCCGAGACATCTCCTTGAAAATATCGAGAGGCTTTGTTAAGTAGTCGACACTTACCTGAAACATTATCGAGTTACTGATTATACATAAGCCTTAATTATGGACGACGTATATTGAATATAAAATAAGATAGCATACCACATTTGTAATAACATCAAAGGTGTTATCTTCGAACGGGAGTTTCGGATCGACGTTCAAATCTTGCGCAACATACTCTGTCAGAACCTACAAAGCCATCAATTAATTAATTGATTCAAACAGCAAATTAACAATATAATGATTTTCTCACTGGATTTCGCTTTAGCTCTTCTTCGTTGAGACCCATTCCCGCTATTCTTGATTGCTTATACCCTTTTGGATAATGGCTGATCTAAACAAATCACAAGAATCGTGTTACGTTTTGTGTAATAACTTTGATAAATTAAAGAAGCGGTGATAACGTTTAAGATATAATAAGTAAATAAAAACTCACCCAGCTGCTACACATGTCGAGTAGAGCAACGCCAGGTGTATTACTCGGAGGGAAAACCTCCGAGTAATATTTAGTGAGCGCATTAATGGCGGGATCGTCTATGTGTGTCACGAAACGGGGAGATTCGTAGAACGTCGTATCTGGTGATCTGTCGTGTTGTTTTTTCAGACAACCTTAACTTATCGTAATAATATATATAGACATATAGATAATTTCGGGGATTACGTACTCGTCAAAGCGCAGGAAATCCTCGTCCTTGAAGGGAAATTGCTCGGGCCATTCCACATTCTCTAATACCTTTTAAATCATAATTAATTAAGCAGAATTTTGAGTTAACTAAATGCATTAAACATTTTAGCAGCAGCTGGTGATTAACCTTAAAATCGAAACAAAATTTAATCATGACACATTGACACAGGATTATTACAGCCACGTCTGAGGTAAGACCAAATTACAAAATCACCCCTCTTATTTGGGTACTTACAACCAATACTCATCAACTATGAATTTTCTTACACGTTAACCCTTATATCAAATTCAACCGAATCTTCTAGATTCCTTGGAATGTTCTCTGACAATGCAAAGCTTAATAACAGTTCACCAGTACCAATTTTGTACCAAAATTTCAAGAAATCTCATTACCAAAATAACAACACCCAATTCAACAAATGCCCAGAAATTTCCAATTACCCAAACCCTAGAATTTAAAATGACAAAAAAAAAAAAAAAGTAAAAATAATAATATATAATAATGACCTTCTCAACAGCACCCTTTTGGCGGGCGGCGAAAGCAGTGAAAGATTTGGCGCCATGAGACATGTTGGTGAACTGAGACAGAAATGAAACACCAAAACCTAATACCAACCTACGTGATTGTCTGTGTTCACCGATTCTTGGTAAAGACGAAGATAAAATTTTTGTTGCAGGATGATAAATCCCACCCAAAAGCTGCAGTTTTATGCCAATTGGATTCCCCATTTTCTCTCTCTTTTTATTACTTCCTACTAATTAATACATGAATAACATACATAAATTAAAAAAAAAATGTTAAATATGAAATTTAATTAAAATTTTTTTTTTAATCATGGGTTGGTGATTGATGTATGAGCAGTTGACGTGGCCATCTTCTCGTTCACACGTGTACGAGGATAAGGCTTTTGTCCTAACAAATCTTACCAGGCCTAAATTCTGTTGTACTTTGGGCTGTTCTTGATCTAACTAATTGGGCTGCCACAAGTTCTTAGGGCTGATCTTGTAATTTTATATATTAATTAGGCTTTGAAGAACAGTTTATTTTTTATATTATTATCAATAATTGGTTGTTATATTGATTAATTAATTAATTAATTATATATATTTCAATACATGAACTGAAGTAAATGTAAATCATCTAAGTTATACACCACAATATTTCAGAACCGACAGAAAAGACGTTAATCGTGTCCGTCTCATAATTAGGGGTGAAAATCGGATCAGATCGAATTCAAATAAATTTTAAAAAAATTGGAAATCATAATTGTTTTTTTTTTTTTTTAATGGAAACAGACAAAATTCAAAAAAAAAAAAAAATACTAGACAAATAATGTAATGCCATGCAACTTTTGACAGGTAAGGAAATTAATTGGCTCCACGAAAATGACTTGATTTATAGAAAGCAAAACACGAGATCTAAAAGCGGGGTATTGATAGTTAATTAATTAAATGAAAAGCGTGTTGAAATAGAATTTCTATATAGTAATGCTTGCAAGCTTGCAGCAACTAACTACATATTGAATATGACTTGTTTTGTAACATTATACCATTTGTCCAACTTACCAAATTAAAGAAACGGTTATATCATTGTCACATCTATTAATAGACAAAGCCTATAGCTTCTTCTCATAGTTGACATATGTCTATGAGATACTACATCTTGTGTAACCAGTGTTCTAAAAATCGGCCGAGGCGGCCGATTAATCTGTCTTCAAGGCGGAGGCGGTCCAAAACCTTTACGATTTTAGTGTAAAGGTTTGAAAAATCGGTTTTTTGCCTATGAGGCGGTTTTAGGCGGTCAGAGGCGGTCTGAGGCGGTCAAACCTTTAAGGCGGGTCAAACTCGATGGCAAAAATCGGTCAAAAATCGGTTTTTTTTTTTTTTTTAATAATTCAAAATAAAAGTTGGGATTTTAATAAAAGAAAATATGAGTTTATGCCTTATTTTGTTTATGTTAATTGTTATTGTTAAAGAACTAATGATGTATGCTAGGAATGTTCAAGAATAAATGTAAATTCAAAAAATTTGCTTTTTTATTTATATTTATAATGATATTTATGTATTATGATCTTATACTTATTAAACTTTTATTATGTTATTAGGATATATACATAACGGAGATATAACTATGTTTAAATATCTTTTTATATATGTTTGGAGTTTTTATAAATAATATCTAGAGATTTATTATATTAAATTTTAAAAACCGATTTATTTCCGATTTATCACCGATTAATCACGCCGCACCGATTAATCATGAATCAGTGCCTGACCGACTCGGACCCGATTACCGCTTTTTACAACCTTGTGTGTAACACATTGAGTGATAGTTTAATTTACAGATTAAAATCGCCCGCTTCATAATTCAATGGTCTTTATTTTCTTCCCACCGATTTCTCTACACCCTTTTATTTTATGTTTAGATGAGTCGAGGTAGGTGAAGATTCCTTTGGACATGTTTGAATTAAATAGCTTCTAAGCTTTTCTTTCTTTTTTTTTTCACTTAGTTTTTACTAAATGAAATAAACTTACTCTGCACAAAGTGATTAGAACAGAACAACCGAATTTTCAATTTTGTTCCATTTCACTTAATTGCAATTCGTCAGATTCGGTCCAACTCCATTGCACTACATCAAATCTACTTAATCACTTGTTCTAATTAAAGCTATAAAAAATATTTTTGAGAAACTTCTATCTAATTTCCACTTAATTAAATCATTTTTGAGTATTGGTTGTTAGTAGTAGGCCAACTTGGACTTGAAAAAAGAGATAAAAACTAATGAGAATCTTTCAAACAACACAAATAATTGCACACATGTATAGTAATCAAATAATGCAAATCTTTGATTGAGATTAAATAAACACCAAGGAAATTCAATAAACTTTTCCTATTGCCCCCAAATAATGCAATATTATCCAGATAAGGCCAACAAAAGTCATGAATGATTCTTTTTCTTAAACTACTACCATATATCAAATGAAAATTATTAACAACAAATAGATAAATATCAATTAAAAATATATATAATAAAAAAAAAACATAATTTATTTATTTTCACATATGGTCTCTCCTACTTTAGTAATTAAGTCAATTCTTGTTGGTCATATTATAAGATGATTTTTATTTAATAATTTATTTGTTATCATATTTTAATGTTTTACAACTAATAGGGGAATGAAAAGGTCAAAAAAGGAATCATGTGGCGCATGTTAGCAAAAGCTGAGTTTATGAAATGCAACCACCGAATCTCAGCCTTATAAATACCCCACCACCACCACTTCCCAAATTCCCCTCCCCCCGCCGGAAAACCTCCATTGATTCTCTTCCGACCTTCAATTTCCCGCACACAGTCACACAATGAATCAGATCCATCTCTCTGCAAATCAATTCGTGATTGAAGCCTCAGCTGCGGAATCCATCGCCGAATCACTGAACCTCCCCTCCGTGCTGCATCTCCTCCCGCACCTCGTCCACTCCGCGCAGGCTTTAGCCCGGCCCCCAATCTCCAATTTCAACGTCGGCGCCGTCGGTCTCGGCTCCGACGGCCGCGTATTCGTCGGCGTCAATCTCGAATTCCCCGGCCTGCCGCTCCACCACTCCGTCCACGCGGAGCAGTTCCTCCTCACGAATCTCGCCGTCCACCGCTGCCGCCGCCTCCTCTCCTTCGCCGTCTCCTCCGCCCCGTGCGGCCATTGCCGCCAGTTCCTGCAGGAACTCCGCCACTCCTCCTCCGTCCAAATCCTCGTCATCGATGAAGAAAATTGCGCTCAGAACATTGACCACGTAGAGAATCGCAAACCCTTATCGAAATTTTTACCCAATCCGTTCGGCCCGCACGATTTGCTCGATCACGAATGCCCGCTTCTGCTCGATCAACACGACAATCGGCTGGATCTATTGCCCCCAAACACCGTCAATTCTGTCAATTTGAGTAACGGAAATGATGAGAACTTCAGTAAATTGGCAAATGGGAATTGCGGCAAGTATGAAAAAAGTGAGGATCTTTTGAGGGAATCGGCTTTGGAAGCTGCGAACAACGCACACGCACCGTACAGCGGGTGTCCGTCGGGTGTGGCGTTGATGGATTCTGAAGGAAATGTGTATAAAGGCTCTTACACCGAATCTGCAGCTTATAATCCCAGCTTAGGCCCCGTTCAGGCGGCACTGATTGCCTATGTGGCGAGCGGTGGCGGCGGTTACGAGAGTATTGTGGCGGCAGCGCTGGTGGAGAAGGAAGGTGCTAAGGTCAGGCAGGAAGATACTGCAAGGCTTGTGTTGAAGGCAGTTTCGCCCAAGTGCGATTTTCGGGTATTTTACTGTCACTCTGGCTGAAAAGAAAAAAGAAGTACCGAAAACACGAATAAACCTCTGGCTATTCACGATTCGAATTCCGGTGATCTGGGATTAAGATTATTGCAACTGTAGATTCGATCTTGCAAATTATTATTTATGGTGATCAATGAATAACTGCAATTCTTGTTTTTCTCGAGTATTGCTGTTGTTGTTCCTATGTATTTCCTATTTGTACTACTCTTGTCAATTACAACTAATCATTGAGCTTTGTCTATAAGACTATAACATCTTATTCTGCATCTTTGCATCAAGTCCTCGATTCTACAACGCCGTATTTTTCTCTCTTTGCTGCATCTTTTTGCATCTTTTTCTGATACGTAGATGTTTTTTTGCTTCCGTTGTGCAATTATTTTGTCTTGGATTGGTGTTCGTTTTGAAGTAGTTCATGCGAGTTTGATGTATATTTCATCTCTGGTAGAGCATTCTGAGTTGTATGAAATAGCAGATAACCAAAGACTGATTGATTATGCCTTACAAGTTGTATGAAAATGAAACGTTCGTACTGAAATTTTGATTGCATATCGAGCGTCCATCAATTGGATCGTAGAAAGAAACAATATTTATCGCCATTGGTGAATTTATTTATTGAAGAGGATTCTGAATGTAGGTGCATTCAGTTGGTTTGAGATGCCTTGAGCATATATTCATATTCATAGGCATTCATCCATCCATCCATCCATTCATCCCTGCATATGTCAAGTGTGTTTGCTAGCATTGTTTCCAAGATAGTTGAGCTTGACCGAAGATCTATTCAATTTCGAATGTTACAAATATAAGCTTCTAGTATTCACTATTCAATCCAGACGCAGAACAAAAAAAGCAAACACAGACCAGCAAAGATGGTGTCCGTCCCATGAAGGGTCGAAGTTATCCTAGTAAGAATTAAGAAAAGAAAAAAAAAACTATTGCATTTTTTCTCGAAAAGGCAGCCACAAATACGGCGATGCATAAGCATATATATCTTCGAAATGTACAAATGATAACCAAGCACCCATAGCTAAGTGGTGGCTGCTTTTAGCTATTCGTTCTTGATGAATGGAGGCACGTCACCTCTCATAACCCTCCAAGGCCCTCGATAAAACATTGGCTTCATCAAAGGAACAGATTCCCCAGGGTGTGTTTCCCAATATTTCTCCTAAGAAAACAATAATACAACAAAACAAATATTAGTCGAACAGGCCTCTGAATCCATTGATCCGCAATCTTTTTTAGTTTTCAGTACCAGTATTATGATAATTACGTGTTAAAAATAGGCAAACGCTTGTTCTAATACAGTTAAACAGTAGAGAAACCATTCAGGAAATGGATCTTAAGTAGCGTGCATTCATATTCAGATATCAGACTTAACCATGTAGGTTGAAAGACTGACAGTAAGAGCTTCTAAAATGTTGGCAACAGAATTCAATTTCAAAACACAATATCGAATTATAACTATTTCAGAATATATATATATATATATATATATATATATATATATATATATATATATATATATATATATATATATATATATATATATATATATATATATATATATATATATATATATATATATATATATATATATATATATATATATATATATATATATATATATATATATATATATATATATATATATATATATATATATATATAATGCAACTGAAGTTATAATGCAAAGAGCATAGAGACAGACACATCGACAACACGTTCTTGTTCTTCGTCAAAATCAGTATCGTAGATTTGAATCGAATTCAAAATCAGCAAACACGAAACGAAGGAAATCAATTTTGCAATTCGATGCCCAGAACCCGGGTTTTGTTCTATTTTACCCGAATATTTCACCAAGTGTAGCAATCGAAAAGACCTAGAACTAGAGGCATACCAATCTAATACTTGCAGTTATATATATATATATATATATATATATATGTATATAAAAGAAAAAAAAACATAATCATCTGATCATAGCATAAAAAAGATTTCAATAATTCATAAGAAAATCAATAGAGCAAATTAATAGTGCCAAGCAAAATTCATCTTGAATCTGAAAAAAAAAATAGGTCGGAGAAACAAGTGGTTAGGTTTTACCTTGTGGAGCTGCTCGGTGATTGCAGCGCCTACAACACCGGTATAAAAAGCACAGATGTAGATGGTGACCAACGGAGTGAACGATTTGGGCCGCCGGTAAGGATCAATCATATCCCAGAGAATCGTCCTCTCCCATTTCGTGTACACATAGTCTGCGTATTTCCTCCACAGATAGCTCGTCATTTCTCCTTTTTTTTATACCTTTTCTGAACCTGAGTTGACTCACTGTAATCAATTCAAGCTTCTGACAGCTGAAAAATCAAAGGAACCGTACTAATTTTAAGTTTCCCTGTATGAATCGCGGTGCAGTGCGGCGGCGGCGGCGTGCGAGAGGGATCTGTGCGCGGCGGCGATTCAACGTGAGTAGTGGAACAGAGAGGATTGGGTGGGCTTGTATTTTTCTTGGGCCTTGCGTCACACAGTCACACTATTTGTATGTGTCTTTTTTTTTTAATTTTATTTATGGAAAAGAAAATAGTTTATTATTAGCCTTATAAACTAAATTAATTACTTTATTCTAATTGGATATTAAAAAAGGAAATTTTATTGATTAAGATAACATTTTAATTTTATATTTTATTAGTATTTATGGATCTATAAAATATGTATTGTACTGTGTAATTTAAAATTATTTTTATTTATTATTAATTTATATATATTATATGGGACTTCTTAAAGTTTTCGAATGCGTATTACCCTATAAATATTCCTTAACCAAATTTATTAATTCATTAGGTATTAATGTATCGAGTTTCTACTTAATATAATTATTTTAAGATTTCTTGATTTTTTTTTATACAAGCATGTCACATGGCAAGAACATGTATATTCATTTTAAATTAGGTTTTTTTTATTATTATTAAATTGATCAAATCTAAACAAAGCTTGATAAAATTTATAGTATGAATTAGAATCAATGCTTGGTTCAAATCATCCAATTCAAATTCAACACTTTATTTGAACATATTATCTAAAAATACAAATTACTCAACGTAGAGAAGGAAGAAGAAGATCTTTTGCAATTAGCCGTTAAAATTACAAATTCAACGGCTAGGCAAAAGAACATCTTTTGCAAAAGACTTAGTCCCATTATTGGAAGCTCCTTTAATCTTTAGTATTTTAGTAACCAAATTATATATCTCAACATTCTCAAAAGATTGAATCTTCTTACCCCTTGCAAATCTTGGTCCATGCCCAATAAATATAGTCCTCATTGAAAAATACGCGTTGTCGTATCCGTGTGCACCTGCACACTCTTGAATTCCTGAATTCGTCTGCTCTATTTTAAACCCTTCCGCAACCAACCCGATTATCGGTGGGACCCGCTCGCTGTCCGAATAGTGCAATCTACTAGGCAAATCCTCCTTCAAGTAAACCCTTAGATACTCGCCGTTAGTCACGTTACCCGATTTCAATCCCTTGTTCATTTTAGCGACGACATTTGCCGACGAATAATTGGCCGGCGGGCGAATCGCGAGCAACGGAGTGTAGGATTGAACCCATTCCGTCGGAATGTCGATCCACTTAAGAAGATCGTCTAAGAATATCAACTTCTTGTCGCACGTGCCAACCATGCCGTGATCACCAACCATAATAATATGCACGTCCTCAAAGCTTCCTCTTTTCTCCAAACCGGTTATCAATCTTCCGACCAATTTATCGACATTAGCGACCGATTCCGTAACCCTAGGGTCGTCGGGCCCCACTTCGTGGCCCTGACTATCTGGGTCCTCGAGGTACAACGCCATTAGCGACGGAATTTCGTCGCTAGTTAAATCGAAGTAGTTCAAAACGGTGTCGACCCTCTCTTCGAAAGTGACGGAACTATTGTACAACATGCAATAGTCCTTCGGGCAAATCCAAGAACCCTTTTTCACGTCCGAGCCGGGCCAGAAATAAGTGGCTGCTTTCAAGCCGTGGTTAGCAACAGTCTCCCAGAGCGGCTCACCGAGCCACCACTTCGGCTCGCGGCTTCGGAGGGTGAATTGTTCTCCCGTAGTCGGATCGGTGAACTTATTGTTAATGATGCCGTGGGAAGTTGGGTACAAGCCGGTGGCTATGGAGTAGTGGTTGGGGAAAGTTAGGGTTGGGAAAACGGGGATTAGTCCTAGCTCAGTTTCGGTTCCGTTTTTGATCAGCCGGTCGATGTTCGGAGTATCCGTTTTGTATTGGTACCCGAACCGGAACCCGTCGAAGGAAACTATTATAACGACGGGGCGTTTGAGCTTCGAGAGAGATTTCGAGACCGAATGATGGTCGGTGGAAACGGGGTTGACTGATGATGAGGTGGCGGTTGAGGTGGAGAAGAAGAGAAAGGCAAGGGCGATGGTTGCAGAGAGAGCGACGGAGGAGGAGATAACGAGAGAGATGAAGGAACATGGCTTCGAGGGTGAATTTGGGCGATCAATTTGTTCTCGTTTCGGTGTTGAGATTGGCAATGGTTTGTGTTCGTTTTCGGTTAAGATGGATAGTGAATCGGAAGCCATGTCCATATGGTTTGTGAAGAAAATATGCGCTACAGTTTTGGAGATTGAATTAAGCTCAAGAGTTAATAAGAGTTTGACGCATATATATGGTTTCCTCCGCCACTCTCACTCGATCACGTTTAAATACAAGAGTATAGTCAACACAAGGAACAGTAGGTGAGATTGGTACGCGCGGCGCGGTAGTGTTAATCGAACGGATCAGATCGAAACTAACATTTTATAAGTGCACATGGCATACAATTGCAGAAAATTAGAAGACAAGATCTTATTGAGAATCAATCGTATGATTAATTTAAGATTTCTTGAATTTTTTATACATGCATGTGTTTGGCAAGGCAGGAATATGTTTTTTCAATCTTTAAGATTAAGTAGGTTTTTTTTTTTTTTTTTTACTTGCATTTTTTTATACATACATGTGATCGACAAGGCAGGAACATGGATTTTTTTCATTGAATAATCCCGGAATTTTTAGACGCTACATTGGGTTGATTTAAACTGTAAATTTACACATAATCACACACACATGTGTATGTGTGCTCACCGGCGAATCACCTGTGTACATAACACGATTTTCGCTTCAACTGTCAGTGGCCAATTTAAATGACGATTGTGCTGATTTAATCGACTCCAAATTCAAAAAAAACTCACCGTTTTGAAGCTTACCCACTCTGTTCAATATTAATCAGCTTCCGAAATAAATAAAACAACCAGAGCAATACCGATATAGACGAAGACGACAAGCAGCTAAAAGAAACATCAGTTAGTGCAGTACATTTATGTTTCAACTATATAATGCGAACTTGCGAAAAATAAATAACAATTTGATAAACCAAATTAAGATTGTATATTCGAATAAATTTATCGAACACACGGCGCTCTAGTCTTACCCTTCAACCACATGCATTCATACGTAAAAGGGTAATACTTGAACAAGAAGATTACAATTACAGATTCAACTACTCATCGAGTGACGAAAAATTACCCCTTGTAAAAGGGTTACAAATACAGAGAGCATATTACACAACATATCGATACCTACTCGGTTTCGTCTAACAAACTTGATAAATGCATGAAGTTTAATAAATACTTATACATCAATCTCGCCATGAACTCATTGCGATAATTCATCATTACGGAAAATCTCAACCGTCCAATTTCTCCAAGTAGTTCCACTTGATTGGGGATGATAAAGGAGTTTTTCAAGTTTCAACGGCTAGGCAAAAGAACACCCTGTGGAAACGAGGATGTCCCATTATTGACAGCTCCGTCAATTCCCAGAATCGAAGTAACCAAATTGTATATCTGAACATTCTCGAAAGACGGAATCTTTCTACCGACAGCAAATTCCGGTCCATGACCAATAAAAATAGTCCTCATCGAAAAAAACGCATTGTCGTAACCATGCGCACCTCCACATTCTTGACTCTTCGAATTCTTCTGCTCCACCTTAAACCCTTCTTCCACCAACCCAATAATCGGAGGGATTCTATAACTATCTGAATAGTGCAACCTACTCGGCAAGTCCTCCTTTAAATAAACCTTCAAATATTCGCCGTTATTCACTTTACCCGACTTCAAACCCTCGTTCATCTTATCCACAACATCAGCCAAAGAATAATTAGCCGGTGGGCGAATCGCGAGCAATGGAGTGTAAGACTGAACCCATTCCGTCGGAATATCGATCCAATTAACCAAATCATCTAAAAAGATCATCTTTTTATCACAAGTGCCAACCATGCCATGATCACCCACCATAATCATATGCACATCCTCGAAGATTCCTCTTTCTTCCAAACCGGTTATCAATCTTCCGATCAATCTATCTATATTAGCAACCGCTTCAGTAATCTGTTTATCGTCGGGCCCCACCTGGTGACCCTGGTGATCTGGATCCTCGAAATACAACGTCATGAATGAAGGGATTTCATCGCTCGGCAAATCGAAGTAGTTCAATACGGTATCGACCCTGTCATCGAACGGCACGGATTCATTGTAAAACATACAGTAATCTTTAGGGCAATCCCAAGAACCCTTGTGCACCTCAGAGCCAGGCCAGAAGTAAGTCGAAGCCTTCAAGCCGTGATTCGCTACCGTCTCCCAAAGCGGCTCGCCGAGCCACCACTTCGACTCGTGGCTGCCCATGTTGAATTTGTCACCGGTTACGGGATCGGAGAATTTGTTGTTGATAATGCCGTGGTAAGCTGGGTACAAGCCAGTGACAATGGAGTAGTGGTTGGGGAAAGTCAACGTTGGAAAAACCGGAATCAACCCGTGCTCGGCTTCGGTCCCGTTTCGGATCAGCCGATCGATATTCGGAGTATCCGTTTTGAATTGGTACCCGAATCTGAACCCGTCGGAGGAGATCAGTAGAACAACTGGGTGTTTGAGCTTCGAGAGAGATCTCGAGACCGAATTGGTGGAAAGGGAGTTAGCCGGAGAGGAGGCGGCGGAGAAGAAGAGAAAGGCGAAGGCGACGGCGGCGGAGAGAGAGACGCAGGTGGAGGTGACGAGGCAGACGAAGAGAAGTGTGGTGGTTACTGGTTTGCGAGGGGGTTTGTCGTCGGGGTTGGAGGGTAAAAGGGCGGATTTGGAGGATGAATTCGATATCGGAAGCTCGTTTTCTGCTTCTTCTTCTTCTTTAGTTGAGATCGGCATTGGCTTTTGTTCGTTTCGGGTGAAGATGGGTGCTGAATTGGAAGCCATGTGCTCCGAGATTCTGGGGTTAGGTCAGAGGTTCAACGATGAAGATGGGTTTTTTTTCTGTAGAATTTGGGGGAATCTAGATTTTTGAAAGATGGTCGGAAAGTAGTGAACTGGAGGAATGACAGCTGACGGTGGTTGGTTGGTGGAGTCGCTCTCCGCCAAGTGGGTAGGTAGATTCCACGGCGTGTATCGAAGTTCCTGCAGATTCAACATCCAATGAAAACTCTTATGTTATTAATATTGGATAAATTACCAAAAAACCCCATAACCAATTAATTATATATTCTCTTATACGTCCTTTCTTTACGATGTCTTATTTATCTAGGGGTGTTCACTCGGCCGGTAAATCGATCGAATCGAGCCGAATGAAAATTCGTACATGCCGATTACCGAACCCTTAATTCAGGTGGTATTTGGTTTTATTTTAGTTTATAAATATGCAATATTAGTATTTAAACTAAAAAAAAAAATCAAAAAATCAAAATTTTAAATATTTTTAATAAATTTTTGGTAATTCAGTTATTTATCGAACCAAACGCTAAAGGGTATAAATTTGGCGTACCCCCACAATTTATGTACAAACACGAGGTTTTTTTTTTAGGGATGGCAACGGGTCGGTTCTGGGTCGGGTTTGCCTAAACCCAAGACCCGACCCACGAAAAATATATAAACCCAAGACTCGCCCCAACCCAAACCCTAACTAAACAGTTCTGACCCGCCAGATTCGCTAGACCCGTTAACATACAAAAAGTTTAATATTGTTTAACTTTCATAACATTTTGCTTGTATATTTTTAGAAAATAATCTCAATACTAAAATAAAATATTTTAAAAAATCTCTACAAGTGATATAACATGAACAATACAATTACAATTAATTATATTTAGAGATTAAATTCTGAGCGGATCAGCCGATATTTAATATAAATCGCATTCCATTAATTTTTTGACACGTGGCATTCTTAAGTCTTAACTCTTAATAAATCACGTTGATTATAATTAGGGTTAGAGGGGTTACGGATTCTGCTGGTTTTCTTTTTTTTTTTTCCAATTATTAGAATTCTAATTATATTTTTATTTAAAATATCCACGTGTCATACTATGGCATCCGATTTTTCTATTAAAACAGGCAATCCGATCTAAATTTGCACCCTTATATTTAATTTCGATAATAAGTAAAATCCAAAATGCAAGAAATTTAGCGGTGGTCGACAAGTGATGAATATTAATCATGAGAAATGAGATTCGAAAAATTAAACAGTGAAAATTGGTAAATGAGAATAGACAGAATAGAAATTGATAGTTTGATAAATGAACTCCGAAATTATATATATATATATATATATATATATATATATATATATATATATATATACGGGTCGATTATGGGTCGGTTCCAATAAGACCCATAACCCGACCCAGAACCATCCGGTTTTAGAAACTTAAACCCATTACCCGACCCAAAACCATTTAGCTGACCCAGACCCGCCCCAAACCGGTCGGTTCCGGGTCCAAGACCCGTCAAACCCGTACCCATTGCCATCCCTAGTTTTGTTTACTCGTAATTTGACCTTACCCCATGGGTGGTCGTAATTTGCCGTATCATCCTTTATTTTAATGTGATTAATTATATATATATAAAAACTCCAAACATTTAAAAAAGATTGTTAAATCTAATAATAGTTCACAAAACAAGGCCTTACAAGACCTATGCATATTGATTGGGCTACGGCCCATTATTAGTGGACCAATCGGAGCCACCAAAAAAACCCAAACCCGTACCCGCTCCATATAACAACAAAGCACGAAACCTAAAACCGTAACGACGTCGTATTACCGAAGCACCGCCGAGTGAAATTGTTGCAGGGCTTTCTTTCTACATTGACAGTGAAAATGGCAGCATATGTAAGCATGGGAGAAGCTCACCGGCGAATCACCGAGTACCTAACACGATTCTCCGACGCCGTTTCGTATCAGGATGGCCAATCCCTCAGCCGTCTCCTCTCCGTCTCCTCCAACTCCCCCGCTCTCCTCTCCCTCGCCGACGCCCTCAACACCTACCAGGTCCAATTTCTCGTTTTATACCTTCAATTTTAGCGTACTCGTAAAATTTCTGCTTTGAATTTATTAAAGCTGCAACCACCTCGAAAAATTCACGGCTTTGAAGTATAATTAAGTTGTGCTTCTGCATAGTAATTAGGTTGGGTGATGTGGTACTGAAGTTTGATTCGCTGGTGAATCCGCACATCTGCTAGTAGCTCAAAGTGTGGTTGGAGAGAATCTGATTTCTGGCAGTAAACTATGTTGAAATGCTAATTTTGGTATATAATTCATAATTGTGAATTGGCATTTTAAGGCAGATTTCTGTTTTTTATTTTGCTTCAATCATTTGTTGCAACGTGCCTGTTTCTTCACGTATAAGCTTTTATGCTATATGTTAAAGTGTGGCTTCTCAATTCGTCTAGTTAATTGACTTCGCTATTTATCTGCAGGATGCTAACAGAATCATTAGGCAATCTGAGAAATATTCGCAGTATACAGACATTCTAGTTCCTATATTCCGTGCCTTGCAGAGTTATCGGCTGAGAAATCTGGTTGAGGCTTACGTGGCATTTGAAAAAGTATCCAAGTATGTTTGTTTTCAACAAAAAGTTGTTTTATGCTTCGGCTTTCTGCGTGCTAGTGTAATTCCTAATGATGGAGAACTGTAGTGCTTTTATTCAGGAATTTCGAAATTGGGAATCAGCATGGGCGTTGGAAGCACTGTATGTGATCGCATATGAAGTTAGGATTCTTGCAGAGAGGGTAAGATGTACATTAGTTTCTCTCGTTTTCCTTGTGGAATACGCACATACATTAAAGAGGAGACTCACAAAAGCTAACTAATTTATGCTGTTGCATTTGAAGGCTGATATAGAGTTGGCTTCAATAGGGAAAACCCCGGAAAAATTGAAAGGTGCTGGTTCTTTCCTCATGAAAGTTTTTGGTGTTCTTGCTGGGAAAGGAGCAAAACGCGTCGGTGCTTTATACGTGACATGCCAACTATTTAAAATTTATTTCAAGCTGGGGACTGTGCACTTATGTCGCAGTGTGATAAGGAGTATCGAAACCGCTAAATTTTTTGACTTTGAGGAGTTCCCGGACAGGGATAAGGTCACATACATGTATTACACTGGTCGTCTCGAGGTGTACAATGAAAACTTTCCAGCTGCCGACCACAAATTATCATACGCGTTGGCGCATTGCAATGCAAGTAAAGAAGCAAATATAAGGTCCCCACACGGTGCCTATATATTCTCATTTCATTGTTATTCATAAACCTGAAGCAAATTTGCAAAATACCGAAGCATGAAGCACTTCCTACATGTGTTAGCTAGGCTTTTTAGTTCATAATGACAACGTTCTTCGGTTCTTTAAAGTATTCATTGTAAATTCTTTGTTCTTTAGCTTGCCCTTTTCTTTCAATAGTTTTCATTTTTTAGGTAGATGACGGGTCTTTCTTTACTGCTTACTTATCCTCTATTCTTTTTCCAATAGGATGATACTAAAATATCTGATACCTGTGAAGCTCTCCATCGGCATCCTACCTAGAACAACGCTTCTTGAGAAGTTTAACTTAACTGAGGTATGTATGATCTCTATGCTGACCATTAATACGTCCCCTAAGTATTGTATTTTATCATGCATTTAGGAAAACATTTTACTACTAAAATCATCATTAAATCATTTTTCAAGTTATCCTCCTTTCTATTTGGTTTACTTGTTCAATGTTCGGTCTTTGTTATTTTATCATACATGCACAAGTGGATGTGAAATAAATAATAACACACAGAAACACATATATATACATGATATGTAAGATGTCCGTCCTTTTATCTATTTTTTGCAGTATAGTGATGTTGTGCTTGCTCTTCGAAGAGGTGATCTTCGACTTTTAAGACATGCCCTTCAAGAACACGAGGACAGGTACCAGTATTTTCTTCCCTCCTTTTTTATCCGGCACAAGGTTTTGTTAGATACTAATCCACAAAATAATTTATCCCACCGCATCACTGTCAGGTTCTTAAGGTCTGGTGTATACCTTGTTCTGGAGAAGTTAGAGCTCCAAGTTTACCAACGATTAGTTAAGAAAATGTTAGTAGCACCGTTAACTGGGCCTTTTCTTTACGGTAGTTACGCCAAGTGCTTGGATTAAGTTCTCTATTTGCATTTGTCACAGCTATATCATTCAAAAGCAGAAGGATCCAAATAAAGCGCACCAGATTAAGTTAGACGTTATTGTTAAAGCACTGAAATGGCTTGAGATGGACATGGATGTCGATGAGGTAATGTTTTCTTCGTATTTCTTCCTTTTCGGTACATTTACTAAACAGTCTAAACTTACTCAAGTTACGCCACTTTTTTCAAGAAGCAAATAAAATCTAACAAAAAAGGCCGTCAATAAGTACAATGGTTTTAAACTGAATGCTTGATAATTCGACGCTACAATGTAAGCAAAAAATCATGGATCGTATGCTTATACAGTCGTATTATGTTTTGTTCTGTGAAGGTGGAATGCATAATGGCCATTCTTATATACAAGAACCTCGTGAAAGGTTATTTTGCCCACAAGAGCAAAGTGGCGGTTTTAAGCAAACAAGACCCTTTCCCTAAATTAAACGGCAAACCGGTCAACTCATAGGGTATTACTCTCTCTCTCATTCAGAAACTCTGTTGTACACTTGTACTAACATATTTCTTTCTTAGACGGCTCAATGTAAATCAACGGTGTAGTAACAACAAACTATAGAAAGGTCAATTGTGGTTTATTCCATTGTTCCTGTCCCCTATTTTGAACTTTCCGACGTTCAAAAGTTTATACTTTTCATATGTTGTGATAATAAATAACTATCCTCGTCTGAATTATTTGATACTTATATCTCCAATACGTTTGAAGCTTTACACGTGTTGTTCCTTTTTTTTTCTTTTTTTTACGGGTGGCGGTGGCTTCGACTTTACACAAAGTTGAAATTTTATTTTTATATATATCATTGTGATATTTCCCAGAAGAACCAATGAAGAGTTAGTGGTAACAATTACTGCTGGTAGTGTGGTGTGCCATAAATTGAGGCAATTTTGAAGTGTGGGATTGAAACTTACCGGCTGCGGTGTTATTTAATTCTAGGTGGGCCCCGGCCCCGTCCATAGAATTATTATCTCATATCAGACATGCCGTTTTCCCGTATCGGCCGCTTCCGTGTCCGTGCTACTAGCTACTAACAATTCATTTAATATATTTTTATAAACTATTTTAATTTTATTTTTCATTGTATGATATTTAACTACTCAAGTAAACAATTTGACAAGATTTGTCGGTCATTATAAAATTTACTTTAGAGTTAAGTTCGACTCGTAAACTCCAAAACATGCCTACGTAATAGTAATAGAAAGAACTTCAAATCAAACTACCAGATACTTGATTCGATTCGAGATCGTTCATTAAAAGCTCTTTTGAGCTCAAGTTTGTTAACCTAATGAACCGAGTTCGATTGCATATTTTCGTTCGATAAATCGGCAGCTGATACACTACTGTACTCTTGACTTGCCATTGAGCGATACCCTCAATTATTTCCATTTCCTTTTTTAATTTAATATTTTTTATTTTTGTATATATTTCAATATTACAACTTGGTAGAGGAAAATGCCAAGAAATCAGCAAGAAATCCAAAAATTAAATGATGTGAGAGAACACTTACATAAATTGTTGCAATATGACATCCTCGTATGCCACTCCCACCTCTAACTTTTATATACTACATAGATTTCTGTCAATCCACCTCTCTTTCTTTCTTTTTTTTCTTTTTTTTCTTTTTTATTTAATTTAATTTTTTTATTTTTTAGGATGAAAGGTGGCAACCCAGCTTTGAATATATATTATATAAACAAGCACTCCATTTATTATTATATAGATAAGAAAGAAATGGCACGTGTAAGACATATATAGATACTGATATGTGTATTAATTATTATTATTATGTACAGATGAATAATTTAAGAAATAATATATTTTCACTTAATTAATATACTAATTTATTATGGTGTAACATGAATGATTGTCTAACACACTTGATTCTGGTTCAAAAACCTTATAACTTATAAGTTATAAGATAAGAAGATACTTAAGTCAGAATATGATTTTATTACCTTTTTGGAATTTAAAAATTAATACCCAATCGTAAATATTTAAGAAAGTGTAGATTTGGCAAAACATGTTCTGTCTCATAATGCACCTTCGAGCGATTTTGTAGAATCTACATCTGATAAAAGAGAATAAATTAAAAACGGACTCTCCGTTTAAGTGAGATAAACGGATGCCTTTAATTGACAAACACGTGGACAAAAGTTGCACTATTAGTGCTAAATTATAATATTAATCTTTTATTTATTTATTTATTTATTTTATTTTTTATTTTATTTTTTACTTTTATTGATTACATAATTTTTATTACGGGTTTTGTATTTCGGGTTTTCGGGTTTCTCAGGTTTTTGAGTTTTGGGTTTTCGGGTTTTCGGTTTCGGGTTTTCGGGTTTCGGGTTTTCGAGTTTTGGGTTTTGGGTTTTCAAGTTTTGGTTGGGTTTAGGATTTCTCAGGTTTTTGAGTTTCGGGTTTTCGGGTTTTCGATTTTGGGTTTTAGGGTTTTCGGGTTTCGGGTTTTGGATTTCGGGTTTTCGGGTTTCGGGTTTTGGGTTTTTGGGTTTCGGGTTTTCGGGTTCAAGTTTGGGTTCGGGTTTTGGGTTTCGGGTTTTGGGTTATTTACAAACAAATTCTTAATTATAATATTTCAAATAAATTCATATTTCGACACACAATTATTAATTAGAGTAATTAGGTATATTATAATACGCTATTGTGGTTGCAGTGTGATAATGTGTGGTGGGTCTTAAATTCTTGTGAAATAGGTAACACGTGGCATTCAATCATTGGAGTCTGTTTTTCCTTTATTAATAGGGCATCCGTTGCAAATGCTCTCCCCTGATAAAATACAATATTTATATACATATGTGCTTAGCGGATAGCTATTGATGTAGATCAACGATTTAAAACCAAGTATTTTTATCAACATGAAAATTTGCTCCAAAATGGTGAGTCTATAGCATTGAGATTAACGATTAATTTTTTGTAATAAAAGAGTGATTTAGAATATAATAAGAAAAATCAAACAACGTGCCAATTTGTGATTGAGTCAACATTAAATATCAATAGCACATCAATTATGAATTAAAAAGCAGTTCAAAGTTCAAACCAAAATTTGCATCCAAGTCCTTTTGACTTTCCAAAGCAACAAGCATGGTGGCATAATTATATAGATTTTTTGCTTTTGCTTTTTCCACATTGTCAAAATATTTATTAATACAGTCGGGACTAGTAAAATTCTATTAATTTACCGAATTATTAAATTATCGAGTTAATAATATAACATGTATTCACTGAGTCGAGACCGAGAGAAACCATTATTTAATCGAGATTATTTATTTAGCGAGGTTCTACTCTATAGTAAAACTTTTTTTTCTATAACAAATTATGTTTATAATATCAACATTATTATATACTTCATATTATATTAAAAAAAAAAATAAAAAAGTTCCACCAGTTTGTGTCTCAAATTTTTTTATTTCCGTTCTTGAAAATCCGATTTTTAATTTTTGTGAACCGTTCGATTTTACAACACGTAGGTACACACACGGACACAATATAAATTTGACCTTTGTTGACCAAAAGATTTACAAGAAATTCATAATGCAAATCTTCTTCCCTTATCAAAATTACTTAATAATATATCTTGAAAGGAAAAAGAAAAAAAAAAAAAAAAAAAAAGAAGAAAAAGAAAAAGAAAAAGAAAAACCCTGATTTCTGTCGGGCGTCAATGCCACGAGCTGGTTTCCGGTGTCAACGTATATAGAGACTTTCTTGAAAGTGAAGTCTGTCCACCGATACTTTTTGGCACAAATATATATACATACATATAATATAGATATACAAATATTAATTGCCACCTCTATATAAATATTGCAGAAAAATATTCGACAGAAATTAGAACTAGAGAGCACAAGGTAAATAAATAAATAAATTACCTCGTGTTGCTTTTTCCAGAAAAATAAAATAAAAAAAATGGAGGATGTATACGGAGGAGGAGGAGGAGGGCGGCGGATGTTCGGCGCCTCCATGTGCGGCGGCGCACAGACGGAGGAGATTGAACAGTTCTCCAGAGAAGGCAGCCATTACAGCCTGTCAACTGGGATTCTCCCTTCTCTTGGAGCAAGAAGCAATCGTAGAATCAAGCTTCGTTCTTTCATCATCTCCCCTTATGATCGCCGATATAGGTTTTCTTTTTTTTTTTCGAGAACCCTTTTTTTTTTATTCAATTTAATTTTAATTTTTTTTTTATTTAATTTGCCTTTTATGGACTTCACCTACCTAGTTAACAAAATCTTGATGGTGGGACATGTTTTTTATTTTATTTTAATTAACTAATGTTGTCCATGTAATGTTCTTACATTCTATAAATTCAATTTCCCAAGACTTTCTTGAAAAAAGCATGGAACATCAACTTGTATATATGAACACATATTTATTTAATCTCTCTAGATAACTATTGCAATTAATAAATTGTATTTAATTAGTTGTATTGAATTAATTTTGACAGAGCATGGGAGGCATTTCTAGTCATCCTAGTGATCTACACCGCTTGGGCTTCGCCTTTCGAATTCGGGTTTCTCGATAAACCGAGAGGGCCGCTGTCGATAATGGACAACATTGTCAACGGGTTTTTCGCCGTTGATATAATCCTAACATTCTTCGTAGCTTTCTTGGATCGGAGTACGTATCTTCTAGTCGACAATCCAAAGAAAATCGCTTGGAAATACACTACTTCTTGGTTAGCATTCGATGTTATTTCTACAATCCCTTCGGAACTAGCTCAAAAAATCTCCCCTAAACCGTTACGGACTTACGGTTTATTCAACATGCTTCGTCTTTGGCGGCTTAGACGAGTCGGTGCCTTATTCGCTCGGTAAAAAAAATAAAAATTCATTCTTTTTCAATATTGCTTTGTTTGTTTTATTTTTTTGTTATAATCGGTTATTTATGTCGTCTTGGAAAAAAAAAACAGATTGGAGAAGGATAGAAACTTCAACTACTTTTGGGTTCGGTGTGCGAAGCTTATATGCGTAAGTCCTTTATAAATTCGTTATGTAAATAAAATGCAGCTTAGAGAAATACGAATTTGAATTCGAATTCGAATTCTTGATTTTTTGTTTTGTGTGTGCAGGTTACTCTTTTTGCAGTACATTGTGCAGGTTGCTTTTATTACCTACTTGCAGCACATTATCGAAATCCACAAAACACGTGGATCGGAGCATCCATGCACGATTTCCTTCAGCAGAGCTTGTGGGTCCGCTATGTTACTTCGATTTACTGGTCCATCACTACACTAACCACCGTCGGCTATGGAGATTTGCATGCAGAAAATACGAGAGAAATGATATTCGATATTTTCTACATGCTCTTCAATTTAGGACTCACCGCATATTTGATCGGAAACATGACTAATTTAGTGGTCCACGGGACTAGCAAGACCCGGCAATTCGTAAGTTATTTATTTATTTTGAAAAAAAAAGTTAGCAACTATCTAATTATCGATTTAATTTCATCTTAAATTGTATAGAGGGATACAATTCAAGCGGCATCGAGTTTTGCACAGAGGAATCAATTGCCAGCTCGCCTTCAAGATCAAATGCTTTCGCATTTATGCCTGAAGTTTCGAACTGATTCGGAGGGGCTTCAACAGCAAGAAACACTCGATTCACTTCCGAAAGCAATTCGATCGAGTATTTCCCATTTCCTTTTCTACTCTTTAGTCGATAAGGTCTACTTGTTTCGTGGGGTGTCCAACGATTTACTTTTCCAGCTGGTAAATTGTTAATTCTCCCTAACTATTTTTCTTTTTTCATTCTATGAATTTTCGACTTTTTTGTCATAATCGTGTGTTGTACTATAAAGGTTTCGGAAATGAGAGCCGAGTATTTCCCTCCCAAAGAAGATGTGATCTTGCAGAACGAAGCACCGACCGACTTTTATATTCTTGCTACCGGGGCAGTGGTATGTACATTCACCGTTTCTTGGACTACTATATTTTCGGTTTATTGCATTTAGCTCCCTTGTGTTTACTCTAATTGTAATAGAACTCCCCTTGTTGTAAATATTAGCAAAATCCCCCCTACGCTGCAACCTTATTAGCAAACTACCCCTTAAAAACACGTCATTTAGGGGGTTGTGTGCTAGAAAAATGCATCATACGGGTTTTTTCGCTAATATTTATAACACGAAGGGTTTTTTAGCAATTCGGTGTAACACTAGGGGTACTAAATGCAATTAACTCAATATATTTTTCCGCGCACATTATATATTCCCATCTCATGATGTATAGTGGTATTTTTGTAGGAACTATTGGTTATGAAAAATGGGGTTGAACAGGCAAGTCTCGATTTTTAAATCCAAAATTTCGTTAAAAAAAAAAAAGAGTTTTTTTCGATAAAAAAAACTAACCAAAAAACACTTGTAAATAATTGCAGGTTGTTGGAGAGGCGAAAACCGGTGACCTTTGTGGTGAAATTGGTGTGCTTTGCTATAGGCCTCAATTATTCACAGTTCGTACAAAACGATTAAGCCAGCTATTACGGCTTAATCGTACCACATTCTTAAACATCGTTCAAGCTAATGTTGGAGATGGGACAATTATCATGAATAATCTTCTACAGGTATATATTTTATATATAATTGAAAATGAAATATAAATAGTGGTATTTTGAACTTATTGCATTAAATAATTTTCTTGATGTTCAGCATTTGAAAGAAACGAAGGATCCGATAATGGAGGGAGTACTTATGGAAACTGAAACGATGCTTGCTCGAGGAAGAATGGACTTACCTCTCACTCTATGTTTTGCTGCACTTAGAGGAGACGACTTACTTTTGCATCATTTGTTAAAGAGAGGCTTGGATGCTAACGAATCCGATAATATCGGAAAAACGGCTTTGGTATATAATATCTTCGTTTATTTAAATAGGCGGGCCTCTATACTAATTTCCTTTTTTTTTTCTAATTTCTTTATTTTATTTTTTCTTGCAGCATATTGCAGCATCACAAGGAAACGAGAACTGCGTGCTTCTTTTGCTCGATGCTGGAGCCGATCCAAATAGCAGAGGTAGTTAATTAGTTGTTCGATATTTACATTTTTTTACTTTTAAATAATTATTTTTTTTAATTTTTTTTTTGTCGTGCAGATTCGGAAGGAAGTGTGCCGTTATGGGAGGCGATGCTCGGTGGACATAAATCAGTTATCAAGCTACTGTCAGATAACGGCGCTAAAATAACCGGTGGTGACGTAGGCCTATTTTCGTGCACAGCAGCCGAACAAAACAACTTGGACTTGCTCAAGGAAATCGTTCGCCACGGTGGCAATGTGGGCCAGCCCAAAAACAACGGGTCCACCAGCGCTCTCCACATTGCAGTTTCGGAAGGCAACTTTGAGGTAGTCAAGTATCTCCTTGACCAGGGCGCCGATATCGAAGCGCCCGACGATAATGGGTGGGCCCCGCGTGAACTGGCGGAGCAGCAAGGCCACGACGAGATCAAGAACCTCTTCGAATCGTACGACTATAAAGCCCCCCCCAAGATCGATCGTAATCCTACGGTCACGGTTCTTCCGGAGGAGAGCCGCGGGGTCCGCTTCTTGGGGAGGTTCAAGAGCGAGCCGACGATTGTGCCGTTCAATCCTGACGGTTCGTTTGTGGGGTCCGACGGGTCGTGGAGCAGGACCCGCCCGAGAAGGAAGGTTAAAAATAGTTTCCATAATTCTCTATTCGGGATTATGTCGGCAGCGCAGAATGGTGGGGAAGGAAATTTGATTTCTCCGGTGGATAAAACGAGGGCGACGAGTGTGGGGCCCGAGAGAGTATATGCTGCCCGGCTGACCGTGAGCTGCCCGGAGAAGGGGGATATTGCGGGGAAGCTTGTGCTGCTGCCACATGGATTTGAGGAGCTGTTGGAAATATGTGTAAAGAAATATGGTTTCTTGCCTGAGAAAGTTTTGAGCAAAGACGGAGCTGAAATTGACTGTATAGAATTGTTGAGAGACGGAGATCATATAGTTTTCGCCGGTGATCGGAAAATCAAGGAACCTATTGATCAGCAGTGATTACGAAGTAGTCACTCTGTTTCATTTTCTTGATTTATTTTTTCCCAAATCTTAGATTTTTTTTTTTTTAGATTTTCGACTGATATTTCCGAACACTGGCAATGCATATTTGATTGCTGGTTTTTAGGTATGGAATTTAACTCAGGTACATTGCCCAAAAGAAGATGGGAAGTTATAGTGTACATAGATTAGGTAATCAAGAATTTGATGAATGAAGAAATCTTCCATCAAGAAACTCAACTGTTGTACTATTTTCCCTCAATTTTCAATGTATTATCTCCAGACTAGGGGTGGAAACCGGATTGAAATAGGGAATTTCGAAAAAAATTGAAAATCTTGGTAATTTGGAATGAAAATACTCTCTCCAAAATCGGAAATTTTCTGATCGAAATCAGCCGAATTCGAAAAATTCCATGTTATTAGTCACCTAAAATATGAAATGCATAATAAAATTCAAAATCAATGAGAAATTCGCCATTAAAAAACAAAATAAATTTCAATTCACAAGCTGATGAAGTTAGAATATAGATCCCTATCTCATATAAAGAAGAAAAATCTTCTCTTAAAGAAGCAGCCTATATGATATCTTCTTGTTCCAGAAGAGTTATTTATTGCCCCAAAAATTTGTACAAATAAAATAAAAAAATAAAAAAAAAAAAAAAAACCCTGGGAGGAAGGTGGAGGGTTGGAAAAGTTTAGCTACTAAAAGAAGACAAGAATCTAAAAAAACATCAAATGGTTGGAACAGAATCAGATCGAATAAATTGTTCGAGAATAGCTTTATCTTCGTCAATACGCTTCATCTCTTCTTGGTTAAGGGGTTTTACCTTTCTCCTCTCTTCCAATATCCATTTGAAAATTTCACGTTGCTGTTCCTCAGGCATGTGCTGGCGCACAATCACGGGCTTTGGAATCGGAGGAAAATATACTGTTTCCTCTCGGATTAGAATGGGGGCAGTTTCAGCAGCAGGAATGGGTGCAGCTTCGGAAGCATGAATGGGTGCAGCTTCGGAAGCATGAACGGGTGCAGCTTCGGAAGCATGAATGGGTGCAGCTTCGGCAGCAAGAATGGGGGCAGCTTCAGCAGGAACGGGGGCAGCAAGAACGGGGGCAGCTTCGGGAGCAGGAACGGGGACAGCTTCGGAAGCAGGAACGGGGGCAGCTTCGGCAGGAGGAACGTGGGCAGCTTCGGGGGGGACTTCACTTTGGTCTTTCTGTCTTTCTTTCTTACTCGGCAGAGCAAACATGTACGCTACAAACACAATTAACAAACGAATACCAGATTACATCAAAGCTTCAATCAATTAGTGTATTTTTCTTTCTCTCTTTGCTGAATCGTTTTTTTCTAGATCAACAACGATGGCAGAGCAAAAGAATTGTCTGACAAAAGCAAGACAAATAAATAAATTGTTATGCACACCAATTAACTGGCTACAAAAGATTAACATGTAAACCAAATTACCAAACTCAAGAGTCGCTGTTATTTTTTATCCTGGCGGTGTTTATTCCTGCAAACCATGGCAGCCTATTTTTATGATGTTTTAAGTTGCATTTTAATCGAGGGGTTTGAGCGAGGAATTTCAAAGTCATAATAACGAATCCATTTGAGCTCGTTTCTATTGACCATGGGAATTTCAAATCTCGAGCACTCGTTTTTCAGTTATTTTTTTAGTCATCGCTGTGGATGTCAAATACGTCTCATTTGGAGTCATTTGAAATCCGTCCTCAAATCCAATGAGCTTGTTCGATCCAACGTTTCCATGGCAATTCTGAGATAATCCCGGTTATAAGTAAAATTTTAAAAGCTAGGTTACAAAATCCTCCGACTATCTTAAAAGATGAATCCTTCACAACAGCAGTTCATATATAATCGAAATAGTCACAGTAACCTTCATGCATAAACCTAGGGTTCAATACTTCGAATTGCAATCAAGTGATGACCAAACACCTTCAGTTTTTCATTTTCCTCACTTAAACCAAAAAAAAATCCTCCAAATGCATAAATTGAACGATGTAAAATGCTCGATCGAAGAATAAACCCACACACACACCCACATCCAGAAATCAGTTCAAGAACATCGACTAAACTAAAATTAAGACAAAACCCAGATTACTCCAAAGCATAATTCCGATTGTGTTTCAACATTTCATTAATTAATTACAAAAGCCAAAAATAAAAAAAAAAAAAAAATTAAAACTAACCAGCGAGACCGAAATTGGCAATCAAAAAGCCGCGCCAGAGATATTTGGTGAATCTGACAGCAGTTGAACTTGGAATCTGATACACCGGTGGGCTTCCCTCCATTTTCACTATCTTGCTTATTCCTTCCTCAATTTTCGTCTGCGGTTTCTGTAGGGGGGAAAAGTGTGCGATTAACTGGATTTTGACAAATTGAATCGTTAAATTGAGCTCTGAAAATGGAAATTTTGCAGTAGATTGGGATGATCTTGAACATGGATTTTCTAAACTTGGGGGAAAAGGAAAGGGCTTCCCCAATTTACAAACCCTAATCGAATAAGGGCTCGTTCGGTTACCGCTATAAGGTTCTACTGACTAAATAGTATGGGCTAATAGCATGTCCGGTTGGTAAGATTCACACTTTTTCAAACCCGCTACTAAAATCAAAGCCCGCTATTAAATGCTACTATTTCTTTAAATTAGTAGCACCCCTCCCCCTGAGATTAATTTAATAGGGGGTGACTAAAAAAGAAAAAAACAATTTTATCCTTAAATTCATATTTTATTATTGTAAACTAAGTGGTTTTATAGACAATTCATATATAATAACCGATTTTAACAAATTTAATAGAAAATCTAATCTAAGAAACCGAACATGCTACTAACTAAATAATTAATTAGTCAGTAGGAAGTTAATCCAATCTCATGTAATCCAATCTAATCCAATATAGGTAACCGAACGAGCCCTAAATAAATAATTATTTATCATTTTGAATAAATAATTAAATAACTTTTTTCTAGAGGCGATTATTGGAAAACCAATTAGAGGATTTTTTCTTATAAAACTCGTTTTATTTTTTTGTTTTTGCAAGAAAATCACGAAATAAATAAATAAAGGGTTATTTGCAAATTTGCATTCACCTCCCAGAAACTTTGGTATTTTCAATTACACCCCAAAAGTTTAATTTTTTGGCATATATACCCTTCTATCCATTTTTTCGTTAGTTATTATACCTTAGTTTAATGAGTAGAGTAGGAAAATTATATACAAAATGGCTATTTAATTAGTTTAAAATTGCTAGTAATTATTTTTCTTGCTATTATCTACAAAAAATCATCATGAATGCCGTAAAAATTATATACAACACATGAATTGGAATATAAAATTTGAATTGTGTACCTCAAAAAATTATCGACATTATTATTTTTAATGTTTTTTCATGAATTTATTGTATACTACTTGATAAAGTACATGCAAAACCAGACGAAATCAGAAATCAGAAATCAGAAATCAGAGAAGGAAAAGAAGAAAGAGAGAACACCGTACGTGATAGAGTTTTTGAATTTTTATATTTGTTTTTATTTATGGAATATACAAATTAAATTAACAGAAATGAAGGAAGGAAGAGTCTGTACCAATATTTCACAGTGGGACCCGCCAGCCAGCCGCATACCAACATAACGGCCACCATACATATATTATATTTCTTAATTTATCTGATTTTTATTTAAATAATAAGCACCACTTTGTAGTTTATATAATTTCTCTTTGTCCAGTGTCCACACCAATGTTTTGAAACCCGGACGCGATCGGCCGGTCGTTGAACCGATTAAATCACGAACCATTGTCTTGTCCGCTCCGGTTTGACAATCGGGTTCTTTTTGTCCAAATTTTTGTTTTTTGAAATAAACAAATAAAACGGCGTTATTTTACTGCCCACTTGAAAAAATATTAAATCCATTTATGTTTCAATTGAAAATGAATAATGAGTTAGTGTATGTGAAAGAAAATATGTTCTATTTACTATTAAAAAATATGTACAAATAATTGTAAGAAAAAAATAAAAAATCGGTTGAACCCGATTGAATCAGTCCAACATTGAGTCAGTAGCTTGTCCGGTCTGATTTCCAAAACATTGGCCCACACACACTTAGATAATTACAAAAATAAAAGCAAATAAATTAAAAACGAAATTTGAAGGCCTCAAGTTGCATATGAGCTGCCTGCTTGGCTCCATATTAGGTTATCAACTTGTTCAAATCCATCCAAAAAAATGTTTACAACACATCGCCACACAAATTAATTAATTAATTAATTTTTATTACTCTTATTTAATTCATTAAATAAAAACAAAAACAAAACAAAAATCTCACTCTCTGGATCTCCTAGCTACCAAATGATCCATCACAAAAACTTAAATAAAGATTGTAATCTGCCCTAATTCTTGATTTAACCTATGATCTCTCTAAATAAGAATTAAATAAATAAATTGGAATTAATTTTAACCATGAACTAGGCCAGAAGATAGAGCCATAAGCAGAATTGCAGCATCCTTTTCATCATCGGGGAAAACTCGATGAATCGATAAATTGTTGCTCAAATTAATCAAGAATTCCTCGAAACCGAGCTTCTTCTTTCCGTTATTAGTACTATCGGCCGATGATCCGGCGGCATTAGTATTATTATCAGCCGTTTTGAAGCGTTTCTTGAGCAGCGACGAGTGTCCATTATTTTTGCCCATCTTCTCCTTGTGCTGCACCTTGATCTTCAGCACCGGTGGCGGCTGGTTGGCGGCAACCACCGCTCCGCTGGCGGCAGCTGCGGCTGCGGCCATTGCCCGCCTCGCCTTCCTCTGCCTTATCCCACACGCGTTGCAAAGTGACTGTGTGCACATCAAATGTAGAAAAATGTTAAGAATTAGATATATTAATTAACATGGTGATCCACTAACTTGTGTGAATTTTGTTTACTTTCTCTGTTTCGAAATAAGTGTTGTTTTAGATTATTGCACATGTAATAAAAATAAATTAATAAATATATAGTGTGACTAAAATAGATTTCTCATTAACTTTATTTTCACTAAATCATTCTTAATCTAATTAAAATTAATAAAGGCAAAATTGAGAAAAGAATAACTAATGCATCGTTAGAATTGTAAAGTGCGTATAAAATGAAAGAAGACAAGTTCTCCGATCTCCAAAACGACAGATAATTTGAAAACAAAGGGAGTATTAGAAAAAAATATTTAACTAAGGAATGTGTATTAAATAATAATTAAGAAGAAAAAAAATGATGAATTAATTAATGAATGAATGAATTACCTTAGGGCCTTTGGGACCACTTCTCCAGAGAGGAGTTTTGGTGGTGTTGCAATCAGCACAAACCCTAATTGGGTAGTTGCTGTTGTTGTTGTTGTTGTACGAGGAACTATTGCCGCTGCTTAAATGATCGCTACTTTCTAATAATGAAGAATTTGAAGATGGATTCTGATCGCTGTCGATCTTGGATTTTGCCGGAATATTCTTATTCATCCTCTTCATCAACCTTATCTTCGAAGACATCCATTTCACTGGATTAATATCCGCCGCCGCCCCTTCGTCTGGTTCTTTCTTCCATAGAGTTATTTTCAGACCATTATTATTATTATTATTATTATTATTACTATTACTATTCTTGATCTCGTACGATGATCCTCCGCGATGATATGCATAGTTTTCATCCTACAAGATTATTAAAAATAAAATATTAATTAATGAGAAATGGCAGCATATATATATAACATTGTACTAATTAATTAATTAATGGTTGAACTACAAGAAGATCATGTAATAACGAAGGTAAAACTATATATGTACCATATGATCTTGAAAGTGGGGCTGGTTGTACAGTTGATGATGAGGTGGCGTAGTGAAGAAAAGTTGAGACGAAGAAGACGAAGAAGAAGACGAAACAAGTTGATTATGCGTAGCGATCAAGGCGAAGGGAAGCTGCTGCTGGTTGTGTTGTTGATCGTGATCCTTGTGGTTGTTCATTTGCTCTAATATTGGCAAAGAGTTTAGGTTCATTTTATTATATTATATATATTATTGAAAATTAGGGTTCTTAGCTTGATATATCAATCAAGTACTGTAGATTAAAAAAAATGGAGGGGGGAGTAAAAAGGAAGTGTTGATTAATTATGTGTGTAGAAGGTTCTGTTCATCATGAGCAAAGTTTTGAAGCTCTTTTAAAGGAAGATGAAATGGAGGGGGGTGGGGGTGGGGGTGGGGGCGAGAAATTCACGTGACTTGTTGACAACCAAACAAACATGTACAAAAAAAGACAAAATGAAAAGGGAGGAGCAGAATGCAACCACACCACCATTTCACAGAACCCTATCTTTAAATTAATTAAACCCCCTTTCATTCTTATAATATAATTAAATTAATTCAACACTTCTATTTTATTTTATTTATTATATTACTCTTATAGTTATAGTAGATTAATATTCTTGATATATATGCATAGATCAGAAGTTACTAGATCCAAGTTATTTAATCTTAATAATGTATATATATATATATAGTAGATCAACATGCATGCACGTACGATTGAGTAGTGATGGGATTAGTATGAACAATATAATATTGCATGACCCTGGGAATAAACTTCGGACATACATAATATAAATATGTAATGTTGTTTATTAATATAGCATGCATGGCAAGAATTTTTCAGTTAGGTAATAAGGAAATTAAATTAATGCATATTCTGTAGTATATATGAGACAGTTTAAGATTTTGAAGTGACATATAAAACAATTTCATATGATTTATTACATTATACAGAATTTAAGATTACAGGGTCGGTTGATGGAATTTTCAAATTAAAAAAAAAAAAACCCTCAAGATATACTGCACCACATTATTAATTTTATATATATATATATATATATATATATATATATATATATATATATATATATATATATATATATATATATATATATATATATATATATATATATATATATATATACTAATCATTATTCATTACAATTAGATTTCTTCATGTCTACTAGATTCGATTTCATCTTTCTTTCTTTTTTCTCAATATTAGATCTCTTTTTATATTTTTCAATAACAAAGCAAATGAGAGAGAGAGAGAGAGAGAGAGAGAGAGAGAGAGAGAGATGAGGTCATATGGTAGGGAAAATGATGACAAATGTTGTAATAATCCTTAATTAGATACATACATACATACATAAACATGAAAAATGAAGACAATGTTTAATTAATTTTACAATAATATTAATACAAGCAAGATTTTGTGTTGGGGAATATTAATAAATTAAAGCTCCGTGATTTCATTTTCAGTGAGGGATCACAGAAAATAAAAAAAATTAAACCAGGCCCACTGCATGCAATTGGTCCTGTTTGCAGTGTGATGAGTGTGTGTGTGTGTGTGTGAAATATGATCATACACTTTTCTAATTTTTTGCAGCAACTTGCTGTACATAAATAATCATCTAAAAAAACATATTTAAATTTCATACCATAAAACCCTGCGATCAATCCCAGCCAAGCAAACTTAGATTTCTTAGATCTCTCCAATTTTAAATAATTACTGCAACTTGTGTTTCAGTTGTGCTACCGCCGATTTCTATAATAATAATTAATAAATAATATTACTAATAATAAAATCAAAATTTTAAAAAATAGTAATAATAACTAATATTTATTTATATATTTTTGAAAAAAATTCAAATTCTTAGATCCAAGTACAAATGCCATGAATTTATTTATGGGTCAATAAAACATACTATTTGTAGGGTGTTCCTTGGATAAAAACACTTCCTGACAGACTATATATATATTAAAAATAAATAAAATTATTATTATTATTATTATTATTATAAATATTAAATGAGAGAGAAAAAAGAATTAGTATATGATGAGCAGAGAGACCACGTATGCGGAGCAAGAGTCACTTGTGGGCGAGGACAGTGATGGAATTAAAAAAGTTGTCAGTAATATGAGGTATGTCCAAACTAAGGTAGTTTTCATGTTGCTGCCTCTAAATCTGTAGGGCCCTTTCCTCTGACATTTTTATGAAATGTCGAAAAAGCCCCCGTCCCCCACATTGGTTTTTACGGCTCACCACGCGCTGTCGTTGTCCACCAGGACTTGGTACAGACTTCAAAACTATATGTTAATTTTATTAATTAATTTACAAACAATATTATATTATATAAATACTTGTCAAATTATTGAATCCTTAATTAGTTATGTGGTTAGAATTGTAAATATGATGGTGTCTTATATCACATCACATTATCTATGCTATGCACCTACTATTTATTTTATTTTCAATTATATTTTTATACATATAAAAGGTACATGAATTGAGAACACTAAGACATAGGTGGGGTATATGATATTAGGATTGGCTAAGAATTTACATAAAAATGGCATCTTTTGTACTCTTAAATGTGGTATCAAACTATCAATAATTTACGGAATCAAAGTCACTCATTGTTCGGCAAGGTCCGTAAATATGTCGCTGGAAAAAGACAACGAGTTACGATGGTATTATAGAGAGAGAAAGAGGAGAGAGAGAGAGAGAGAGACATAACGATTATGGACATGAGAGAATACTTACATGAGTGGATGGACATCCATGATTAACTCTTCAATTTGTACGGTCAAGATCAACAGTTGACTTGGAGTTTTGGGCTTAAATTATTGGGCACAATTCCTGGAGTTGGGCTGCCGAAAAATTAATTAAATCTGGGCTCAAAACTTTCGAATAGAGACCGAATAATCTACATGAATCAAAAAGGCCCAACATCTGTTATATATCAACTTCACTTGGTTTTGTTGGGCCCAAAAGAAAACTATAATTTGCTTTTATCTAGAAAATCCTTTTTTAAATATAAATAAATTATAATTGTATATTATTATTATTATCTGTCTCAAAATTAGATTAGGAATATTTGGACACCCAAAAACTATTAAAAATAAATAAATAAAGGAAAAACAAAATGCATACTTTCTCGTATAATTTGTGGCAATTAATGACTTTTATATAAATTGTGTTTACTGAATTTATATGTTACTTGAAAATATTGATTGAATAAAATTAATTTTCAGTCATCTCCTTGGACTTAAGGAGTTCGTTAAAGACGACAAGCTTCAAATTTTGAAAACTCGTGTACGTGTTTTATTCTTTTGAAATATACGACGATGAGATTTGGACTTTGATTTGACCTTTAAAAAAAAGTCAAGGTCACGTGGGCCCCACAATTATTTTAACAATTATCTAGTTGTAATTATTCGTTTAATGGGAAAAAAATATAATATTTTAATCGACATCATATTCATCATGAGTCATTAGCCGATAGCTTAACCAACTTGGATAACAAGATTTGGATAAATTCTAAACTTCGAATCAATAAACAAAAAGAAAAGAAAAAATAATTAAATATAGATAATGTGAAAATTGGGGCCCACCTAGTTTCTCGTTGAACTGAAGGTATAGCCCAACTAACCATGACATGGCATTCTCATCCAAAAGAAAAATTGGTTTGATTTGTTATTGGACTAATTCACACGTAACTTTCTTATCATTTAATTTATATTCTAACAAAAGTTATTATTAGGAATATGACTTCTTGCATGCCTTTTATAGTTACGTTGCCATGTAAGCAATTGACTATTTGGTGCAAATTACTGCATG